AAAAGCTAGTTTTGTATTCAGCTCAAAATGAGTTGTGTAAAATAAATATATTCGCAGCCGAGTCTATAAGGTTGGTAGGGACTCAATGCATACCTATACGTTCTGATTTAATCGAGACGGGATATATCTACATACCAGGTAGTACGTCTTTAAAACTACACGACGAGCATATAATATTGCAAGGTGTATTCCATCTTAATCATGGTTTTGGGTCGATTATGGCTATAAACATATCAAATGGTGATGTTTTAATAGAAAACGGTAAGTTACTAGCGCGTGCCTACCTTTTACCAGTGGTGGGCGAGCTGAAATCTTATACTCCGTCGTGTGTCGAGGTAAATCAGGTACAGATTAATAGCAATGAAGAACCAGATAGACTCACAATTACACAAGACATGGTAAATGTGGGCCCAGATGTTAATGCACAACATAAAGAACGCTTAGTAGATCTTCTAAACAGTTATAGGGACTGTTTTGCGTTAGATACGACTGAGTTAGGTAAGACCAATGTTTCAGAAATGCATATTAAATTAAATGACCAGAGCCCAGTCTCGTATAAACCGTACCGACTGGCTTATAAAGAACGGGAGATTGTCAGAGGGTTGGTTAATGAATTGCTAGAAAACAACATAGTACAAGAATCAAACTCACCTTACGCAAGTCCAATCGTACTTGTTCGAAAGAAGAACAACGAATATCGTTTATGTGTCGATTACCGGTCACTGAATAGGAAAACTGTTAAGGACTCTTATCCAATGCCGGTAATTGACGATCAACTCGATCGATTAAATGGTATGAGGTACTTCACCAGCCTAGATCTAAAATCTGGATATTATCAGATCCCTATGGCTGAGGACTCAAGACATCTGACTGCATTCATAACGCCAGACGGACATTACGAGTACACGCGAATGCCGTTTGGTTTAGTGAATGCACCAGCCGTCTTTCAGCATATGATTAACAAGACGTTAGGCAAAGATAGATACGAATTAGCTATGCCATATATGGATGACATTTTATCACCCGCAGCCACGATTGATGATGGCTTCAAGAAATTGGCTAAGATTCTAGACGCACTACGTCAGGCCAGGCTGACATTGAACTTAAAAAAGTGTAATTTCTTCGAAAGCACACTGGAGTATCTGGGATACGAAATATCACAAGAGGGCTTAAAGCCTGGTCAAAGGAAAACTGACGCAGTCGCATCATTTGCTACGCCAACCACCGTTCACCAAGTAAGACAGTTTGTTGGGTTAGCGAGCTTCTTCCGGAGATTCATTCCCGGCTTTGCAAGCATCGCTAAGCCCCTTACAGTACTAACGAAAAATAACACACCATGGCAATGGGGTAAAGACCAAGAAGTGGCGTTTCAAACTATCAAAGACAAGTTGATACAAAGACCGTTACTAGCATTATATGATCCGAAGTATTTGACGGAAGTCCACTGCGATGCGAGCAAGTTAGGCTTGGGTGGAATATTGTTACAACGCCCCGATGAAAAATCGCCGCTAAAACCCGTTGCTTACTTCAGCAAACAGACAAGCAAGGAGGAAGAATTTCTTCACTCCTATGAGTTGGAAACCCTTGCTGTCGTCTGTTCACTAAAGAGATTCCGTACTTATCTCATCGGCATTCATTTCAAAGTTTATACGGACTGCAATGCACTAAGGACAACCCTAACAAGAAGGGACTTAGTGCCGCGAATAGCCAGATGGTGGCTACTTCTCCAGGAGTATGATTTCAACATCGAATATCGACCTGGGGATCACATGAAGCATGCAGATGCCCTAAGTCGGAATCCTATTAGAGAGAGCCATCTAGATAACCTCGCAGAAGGCCGAGAGTTCGAAATCATGCGGATTGAGACCGACGATTGGCTTCAGACAGTTCAAATGGCTGACCCCGAGTTAAAAAGAGTCAAATCCATTTTGGACTGTGGTGAGAGAAATGTTAAAGACATCGTGGCAAACTTTACTATTCATGACAATAAGATTTATAGAAGAGTTGGAGACCAATTAAAATGGGTCGTCCCTAAGGGCGCCAGATGGCGTATTTGTCAATTGAATCATGACGAATGTGGCCATTTTTCGTATGACAAAACGCTTGATAAGATTAAACACGATTACTGGTTTCCCAAAATGGGTAAATTTATCCGTAAATATGTTTCATCATGTCTCAATTGTGCATACAATAAGGGATCATCGTCAAAAGCAACAGGATATTTACACCCGATACCGAAAGGAGATATCCCATTCCAAACACTGCATATTGACCACTTAGGCCCGTTTGTCAGGAGCAAAAAGGGGAACTCATACATACTAGGTATTATTGATGGTTTTAGCAAATTTATTTTCGTAAAACCTGTTCGGAATGTTAAGACTAAGACGACAATTCAAATTCTACAAGATATTTTCAACGTGATTGGTATACCAAAAGTAATAATATCGGATCGTGGGACTAGTTTCACCTCTGCAAGCTTTAAAAAGTTTATTGTATCGATCGGCGCCAAGCATGTTCTTAATGCAGTTGCGACGCCTAGAGCTAATGGGCAAATTGAGAGGTATAATCGTACCATATTAGAGTCTTTGGCTGCAACTAATCACGGAATGGACGAGCGGATGTGGGACGAGAACGTAGGCCGAGTACAGTGGAGCCTTAACAACACGAAGAATAGGAGTACAGGCAAATCTCCAGCTGAAATCGTATTTGGATTTAGAACCGTTAGTGAAAGTGAAGGTCCCATCATAAATGCCTTAAATGATGTTCTTCCGGATGTCGGTCAAGCTGAAGGATCTCCTCGGGATGGAATACGAAAATTTGCCCAAGAGAATATTGAAAGGAATCAAGATTATATGAAACGTTATTTCGATTCCACTAGAGCTCCAACTAAATTTTATAGAACCGGTGATTTGGTTATGATACCAAGTCACAATAACCCTGCAGATGGCAAAAGTAAGAAATTGCGACCTAAGTTTAAGGGTCCCTACAGAGTAACTGCCGTTTTAAGTACGGCTCCTTGCTTGTCTGGTACGAAATTTCTACTATAGATGGTCATTCTAAGAGGAAGTATAAAAGCATTTACCCGGCGGATCAACTAAAACCTTGGATAACATTTACCTCTAGTAAGGATACAGATTGTGATGACGACACATCTAGCGATGAGAGTCATGAACCAAATTAAATGTACATAACATCAAATTTAATAATATGGTCTAAATTACTAAATATATAACTCAATCACACAATTTACTTACTAACTGNAGATTGTGATGATGACACATCTAGCGATGAGAGTCATGAACCAAATTAAATGTACATAACATCAAATTTAATAATATGGTCTAAATTACTAAATATATAACTCAATCACACAATTTACTTACTAACTGAACTATACTACATACTTCATCTATAACTTTTATACATAATAATATGTAACTGTTAAGTAGGTACTCTAATCAGCTTACTAACATTACTGATCTATAAATACTTTCCATACAACTTATTTGATCCAACTAGCTAACTACATAATAATATTACTCAGCAAAAACTTCTTAAATACATATCTTACTGTTTGATTCCGTTGCATTAAAATATTTTTATAACATAGAGTCCGTTTGTCGTCACTGGATTAAATCAAAATTAAAACATAAAATTAACATAAATGTACACTATAAAATAAAAACAATAATTTAATCATATTTTTAACTTAAGATTTACTGTGACGAAAACCGGTACTTTTACCCTACCAGAATAATAACTAAACACCATTATTAATATATTCTTATTGACTACTTATGTCTATGTATGTGCACTTATTTTAAGGTAGTGCCCCTATACTATCCCTACTATGATGTATTATTATAAACTAATATTTGATTAATATTTGAGTTGACACTTACCGTATGTACTTACCTAATTGTAGCAGGAGTACTTTATAAGATTATTCTATTAGGTGATGATAGTCATTACCATTACTCCTACCTTCCCACTTCCCTAAGATATTTCAGGGTGAAGTCAGCTCAAAACCCCTGTGTTGGTCAGACTGGCCGAAGGTGCCAAAAATAAATACTAATATCTACCTACTGGACCTGAAGAATTATAACAAGAGTGAAGGATGCTGAAGTACAAGCGGTGCTCACCACTAAGGGCCTAGATAAAGTGAAGGATGCCGAAGTACAAGCGGTGCCCACATAAGTAGTGAAGGATGCCGAAGTACAAGCGGTGCTCACTGTCTAGTAGCCCTAGGGTTGCCAACCGTACTATAATATATAGTATTGTACTATATTTCAGGTCTGCGTACTATATACTGTTGAAAAAATATATAGTACGCAAAAATACTATATTTTCAACACCGACAAATCTAACAAACAAATCCTTCATTTAAAAAAATAAGAACGCGCCTTTAAAGTAACTTTTAACTGTTAAGATGGCTAAGTCATATAACCTATTGCGCACGTACCATTTCCTTTGATAAGGTCCGTGAACATACCCGATTGGCGATAGCGTGTATCCGAACGCTTGCGTAACGAACTTCATCATTTCAGCCATAGGACGTCCACTGCTGAACATAGGCCTCCCCCAATGCTTTCCATGTTGATCGATTGGTAGCGGCCTGCGTCCAGCGCCTTCCCTGCTACCTTTACGATGTCGTCGGTCCACCTTGTAGGTGGACGTCCCACGCTGCGTTTTCCGGTACGCGGCCTCCATTCCAGAACCTTTCCGCCCCATCGCACGTAACGAACTGGTCAATGTCAAATTGACAACGTAAAATGTATCGTCGTCAAACGATATTTTGGTCTGCTTTATTTATCGGCAGAATCGTTTTCAACTAGATGTTGTTATTTCTTTCGAAAAGTTGAAATCTTATATAAATTAGGTATGGAAAGTGGTAGTGATAACGAAAGTGCGTCAAATTCCATTGCGCCGCTAACGCCGATTAAAAAACGAAAAATACCAAAAAGACTCCAAATAAAATAAACCGGAGTGGGAAAGAGAGTATGACTGGATTACTGAAGATCCCCAAAATATACAGTGTGAGTCACGATAAAGTGCACATATGAAAATATGTGAAACTAGACCTATTTTTTTCGAGAAAAAAGAGGTCAAAAATTTTTGAGATTTTTTTAAAAAATTTTATAGAATTTTTTTTTCCAATTACTACTCGTAAAGAAAACGTAATAACTTTTAAACTAAGAGGTATATCCTGATAAAATAAAATCAATAATAATGCTAAATAACAGGCGATACTAATAAAATACATAAAATACCCAGAAAATGCCAACAAATAATAAAAAAATATAGGTTTTGAAAAAAAATCTGCTTTTAAATTCGTGTTTTTTTGGTTATTTGATCAATTTCTCCAAAAAATGCCCCTATAACAGGTGGTTTTTATTGCTTTGTATTATTCTCTATCGTATTACTTTTGTAAAACTAAAAATTGCATGNTTCATCGTTGTCATAGTAAGTAAGTAAGTAAGTAAGCATTTATTTGCTGCACACAAAGTCACATACATAGTTCAACAATGCACATTCAAAATAAAAAAAATAAAATAAATAACAATTAGAAATGAAATAATGTGAGCAGAGTTGCGGCAGCAAAAGGTCGATATCGTCATAGGTCGATAGTTCAAATCCGGCTCGAAGGACTTAAAAAACTAGTGTGCTTTCACTCACAGGATGCTTAACTTTTGTGTGAATGCTGTTCACTATAAGCACCAGTAGCCAGTACTAATCAGTAATGGTGGTGCCTCGCAGGTGATCCTGGGCATGGGCTACACGGAGAACGTGGACATCTGGTCGGTGGGCTGCATCATGGGCGAGATGATCCGCGGCGGCGTGCTGTTCCCCGGCACCGACCACATCGATCAGTGGAACAAAATCATCGGTGAGTCACGCTATTCTAGTGTAGTCTTATTGACAGATCTAGGTATAACAGTTTCAGTAACGTAACGTAAAAAGATGCCCCGGTTTTTGAAATGGCTATAAGTATGTCGATTGGCTCAGTTCAACATGTAATTCACAACAGAAGGATCGCTCCAAAAACACATTCAATGTGCTGTCTCGCTCGTGATATCTCGATGTCCCTTATGTCTTCGCTACACTACTCGTTACTCGCTTCAACGAAGTACCGAAGTTAGCCGAGTAGTGCAGTCAGATACTTCAAGTTCAAAATTGAGATTGCTTCAAGCAATCAAGCCCTTAACTCTTTTCTTTTTCTTTTCTTTTTCTTTTCTTTTCTTTTCTTCTCTTCCGGCACTTTACCGACAACCAGCGTAAGTCGGGCGAGGCGATGCGAGGTTTATCTAATCGAAGTACGTGCACGCGGACACTATCTACTTCGATCAACTTTCGCGAGTAGTGTTATGTAGTGAAGGCATTAGGTCTCGGTATCGAAATCAACGATTGCGAGGAAATGGTGGCGGCGCGTTTCGTTCGATGCTTAGATATAAGATAGGCTTCGACCACGCCCACGCGTCATAACCCCACGCACGCTGATTTCTTGTCCGTATCCCTCGGGTACAAATTATAACTTGTAACATTTACAGAACAACTGGGCACGCCATCGGCCGCGTTCATGGCGCGCCTGCAGCCTACAGTCCGCAACTACGTGGAGAACCGGCCGCGCTACGCCGGCTACAGCTTCGAGCGGCTCTTCCCGGACATACTGTTCCCTAGCGACAGCAGCGAGCACAACCGCCTCAAGGTCAGTCTCACGGGCACACGGGGCGCTCCCAGGGGACACGGGGCGCTCCCAGGGGACACGGGGCGCTCCTAGGGGACACGGGGCGCTCCCAGGGGACACGGGGTGCTCCCACGGGGAGAACCGGCCGCGCTACGCCGGCTACAGCTTCGAGCGGCTCTTCCCGGACATACTGTTCCCTAGCGACAGCAGCGAGCACAACCGCCTCAAGGTCAGCAGATTCGTAAATAACTGTTCAGCGTCAGCTCTAGGGATCACTGCAGGATTCTCACATAACTCAACCAGGATAAAGGTTTAACGTACTCAAATTAAATAGTTTATTCAGTACTTAGGCCCTTTTCAGGACGCTTATACACGTCTATACACGTCTCCCTACCACCACTCAACTCAGAAACTCACTCACCTGTACTAGTACAACCGCCTTTAGGTCTGCAGTTTCGTAACTCTAAATTGCTCTGGGCAGACTTCAGGGACCAAAATAGAACGGAGTTCTAATATGCTTACTCAACTGCCTCAATGTCAGGAGCTTCTATACTCTGGCAGGACAACCTTGAACAGGCCTGTAGAAACCTCTTCAGCTCAATTGGAAGAGGTCTAACGTGTCCGCATGACCGCCTCATAGTCAGTATGTGCAAACACTCACAGACAGTACACGTTGCCGCCAACGCTAGTCGGATAATTTGTGACACGTTGACGTTGACTATTTTACCAGTCCTGTCCCGTCAAGGGTCAACGTAAAGATGTGCCAACGTTTTTGACCAATACTTGGACCCACACGTTGGACGAGAGACGTTGTCTCCAAAGTTGGTCCCGACGCCAGTCCTGTGGTCGACTTTGGTGTTCTAAAAGACAATGCCGGAAATTGGCGCCTTTTTTTTCGCGCGGCCATCGGCCAAGCCTTATTTTTATAAAAAAAAAAGTGGGAAAAAAAGGCGCCACCTTCCATACAAAATCTGGCGTTGCCATTTGACAAGTATCTGAACAAATGTTTCAGGCGTCGCAGGCGCGTGATCTTCTGTCCCGCATGTTGGTGATCGACCCCGAGCGCCGCATCAGCGTGGACGAGGCGCTGCTCCACCCCTACATCAACGTGTGGTACGACGAGGGCGAGGTCAACGCGGTGAGCACGCTCTAGCATCATCACCGCAGTCGTCATCATCACCGACCAGCTGTCGCATGGTGATGACCCGAGCGCCGCATCAGCGTGGACGAGGCGCTGCTCCACCCCTACATCAACGTGTGGTACGACGAGGGCGAGGTCAACGCGGTGAGCACGCTCTAGCATCATCACCGCAGTCGTCATCATCACCGACCAGCTGTCGCATGCTGGTGATGACCCGAGCCCGCATCAGCGTACATTGGAATCATCACAATAATATATATCATCATTGTTATTGTGGCTAGTTCAAATCTGGACGCAACGTAACACAACGTATTTTTTTTCGACCAAAATGGAAAGGAATGATTTGTAAACATCGTTCCTCTAAGAATTTTGAAAAATAGTAACTTATATTCTTACAAAATTCAGTTCCGAATCTTGTTGAATTTTGGTTAGGAAGTAGTAACATGAAACTGACTTTGCATTAGGCCCAGAACAGACGGTGAAACGCAACTGCAACGAAACTGCAACTGCTAGTTACTTTTGAGTTGCATCTTTTGGTCAAAAGTAACTAGCAGTTGCAGTTTCGTTGCAGTTGCGTTTCACCGTCTGTTCTGGGCCTAAGAGTAGCAGTAGCATGAAACTGACTTTGCATTAGTCAAATACATAGTCGGTTAGCTATGTATTTGCTTGCTATGTAGACCCATCAAGCTCGTTATTAAATGCCAGCATACAATAGAAATTCACCGATCGTTGAACGATCGAAACTCTGAAAGTTTATCATAAATGTATCGTTCAACTTTCAAGATCATAGACAACCCCTACTGCCCCTGCGATGACTCCAGCTTACAGGATATTGACCATCTCATGCGAGACTGCCCAATATTTAGCAGACTCCGGCATGAGCAAGAGATGACATGCAACAATTTACGGATTGACCCCTATATACCACAACAAATCATTACAAAATCCCAACCAATCGTCACGTTCATAGCCCTCATTAACTCAATAGTCCATCAACTCAAGGGGATCAACAAAACATAGCTTGTAAGCTGCGTATTGTTGGATCTCTCTCTCTTTTCACGTTTGGTAGCAGACTGTATTCATTAGCAGACTGCAACTAACGCCCTTGGAGCTCAGAACTTTCGAAGTTCAATAAAAACTGTGAGCACATTATTAGGTACTTTGACCAAAATCGAAAAAGTGCCGAAGACAAAAAAAATGTATCGTTCATGTTCCCAGCCGGCGCCGGCGTCGTACGACCACTCGGTGGACGAGCGCGAGCACACGGTGGAGCAGTGGAAGCAGCTCATCTACCAGGAGGTGGTGGAGTACGCCGCGCCGCAGCCGCCGCCGCCGCCGCACCACCCGCCGCCCGACCACCCGCAGCCCGCGCTCACCACATAGGTACCATTTGTTTTATTTTTTTTGTTCAGGAACAGAAAAAAACTAAAAATTAAAAATATTGCGTATAAAAAAGTTCATCCCCAATTTTCCACACTTGGGGGTGAAATATTTTCATCAAATTCGCATGAAACCACCCTCTTGATAATACCTATTCAACAAAAAAATAATCAGTCAAATTGATTTATAATCGGCGGAGATATTGCGTATAAAAAAGTTCATCCCCAATTTTCCACCCTTGGGGGTTGTTTTTTCTTTATTAAATTTAAATGGGACCACCCTTGAGGTATTACCTATACGCCGAAAAAAGATTTGTTCAAATCGGTTCATAATTGGCGGAGTTATCGCGTAACAAACATAGAAAAAAAAAACATACGGGTCGAATTGAGAACCTCCTCCTTTTTTGAAGTCGGTTGAAAATGCATACCCACTGGCCCGGGGGAACCGTGGGTTATGTGAGGCTCTCCCTGCCAGATGGGCAGGGCCTACTCACTAAAACCTGACGGTGTCCTCCCGAAGTCTTTGGGACGGTGCTGCGAGTTATTGTCCGAGCTAGACGGCCTAGACATTCTTTCGCGGCTCCGCCCCAGACTGTGGCTCGCTCTGTTTGAGCAAGCGACGACTGGCTTCAGGGGAGTAGTACCTCCCCTGGTCTTCGCTAACGGCACCACCTAGGTACCAGCCCCTCAGTATGCGCAGCCCTTTACATAGTACCCAGACCCCCACATAGTACCCAGCCCCTCACATAGTACATAACCTCTAACATAGTACCCAATCCCAATATAGTACATTACCTTTCTAGGAGTACCTAGTTCCTCACAGAGGTACCATCCCCTCACCATATTGTAACTAAAGTCTGGTCGCCGAGCACGTAGAACATTGTCCAATGACCCCAAGCTACCCATCCTTATCGCTCGCGCGTAATTATATTGCTGTCGCGCTCCAACCTAACCCCCCACGTTGTAACTAACCCCACACGTTGTAACTAACCCCCCACATAGTACCCAGCCCCTCACATAGTACATAATCACTTACCTAACGGGACTATTCCCACCTCTCGTTCCCACCACTGCAACTCTTGTGTAGCCAGGATCTTCAGCTTGACCGCCACAAAAACCCAACCAATGAAGGTCAAGTTTGTCCCGGGGGGGTCAAGTTTGTCAATCACTTACCTAGTATCCAGCTCCCCATATAATACATTACCTTCCAAATAGTACCCAGCTCCTCACAGAGGTACCATCCCCTCACATAGTACACAGCCCCCCACATAATACCCAGCCCATCACATAGTACATAACCTCTTACATAGTACCCAGCTCCTCACATGGTACATAACCTCTCACAAAGTATCCAGCTCCCTACATAGGAGACTACCTCCCACATAGTACCCAACACCTCACATAGGTATCCTCCCCTCACATAACATGCAGCCCCCTACATAGTACTCCCACATAATACCCAGCTTTTCCCCACAATACCCAGACCCCCACATAGTACCCGGATCCCCATATAGTACCCGGACCGTCACATAGTGTTCCCTCCTATAGTACCTAGCCCCCACCTAGTATATGACCTCTAACATAGTACCAAGGCCCGCACGTAGTATCCAACTCCCCATATAGCACATCACCTTCCACATAGTACCCAGCTCCTTACAGAGGTACCATCCCCTCACCACGTTGTAATTAACCCTTGCATATTACCCAGCCACTCACATAGTACATAACCTCTTACATTGTAACCAGCTCCTCACATGGTACATAACCTCTCTCAAATTATCTAGCTCCTTACATAGAAGACTACCTCCCACATAGTACTCTGCTCATCACATAGTACATAACCTCTTACGTAGTACCCAGCCCCTCACATAGTACATAACCTCTAACATAGTACCCAGCCCCTCACATAGTACATAACCTCTAACATAGTACCCAGCTCTCGACATTGTAAATAACTTTCCACATAGTACACAACCCCCACATAGTACCCAGTCCCCCACATAATAGCCAGCCTCCCACATTGTATCCAGCCTCCTGCATGCTAATTTTCAGATAATTTATACCATGTTCAAAGGGGTAAAGCTTGGAGCCTAAAAGAGTTTATAAAGCTGCTCTTGGTCTTAAATTATACCAACAAAGTATTTGCTTGTCGAAGACTTAAATTTTTATGACAATTAATTTTAATTTTCAGGTTACAACCGAGCTGTCCGCCGAGATATAAGCAGCGCGCCGGACGCGCTCTCGAGCGGCGCTCACATGACACGCCACGCGCACCACGACACGCCACGCGCGCCACGACACGCCACGTGGCAACACACGTGACGCGACACGCGCGCCATACGACAGTGCAAACTAGGCGTTCGTTTTATGTTTTGAATTAGGGTTTCCAATTAGACATAGATTACTGCACTACGATAGGGGTTTATTGGTGGTACTGACACCGTCTGTAAAATGACGTATAATTTTATTTGCCACGGGGAGTCATCAAAATAAATCTTGGACAATAATGATGATATTGGCCTATACGGTTGTGTTAAACAGTTTAATAATAACCAACCTTTCAGGTCAGAAATCATTTGCCATGATGGACAATCAGGTTAACGTAAACGTGCAAAATGCAAAACAAAAATGTTTCATCATAGAGTCAAAATACATTTTCACTTCACGTGAAAGTATCGACTCCGATTCCTAAAGGACAAAAGTTCTGACAATTCTTCTCATTCAGTGGGTTAGTTCCACATTTGGCCGCTACAATACACCCTAATCGTAATGTAGATGTCTATGGTACAAATGCAAAACTATTCGAAATATAAATACAACAGCCCATATATGCCCCGGGGTTGATTCCGCGCTAAATGGCTGGAGTCATTCGATCATTTAGATTCGTTAGTTGTGTTATTTTTCCACGTATATTCTGGATGATTATGTATATATTTTGGGTATATATGGGTGCGTTGGCTTTGACTCGCTCACTGTCCCGTGTGCAGACGGTGAATGCGTCAGAGGTAAGCCAGTTCTGCTGCGATCAACAATAAAAAAACGACAGTGGGAATGTTACGTATACGGCCAATGTCCAACTGACAAGGGGACTAAGCGTAGGCCAATCGTAACAATATGAAAACTTGATTTTTTTTTTCATAAAATGTCGTTCGCAGCCGACACGGCTAGAGGTAGCTAGCGCAGCCTGCGGTCCTTTCGGTAGTCCGTAGCCGGAGCGCCGGGCCGGGCCGGGTCGGATCGGTTCGGTGGCGGGTCGGATCGGGTCGGCGGCGGGTCGGACCGGGTCGGCGGCGGGTCGGTTCCGGTTCCTGTCGGTTCGTTTTGCGTCAAGGAGTGCCTTCGCGAGCCGCGGTTCTGCCCGACGGACTGACTGTAAACGTGTGGGTATTTTTGTATCGAAATGACTCGGATCGATTCCCCGATTGATCGCGCGATATTTTTTACCGTCGGACGTTTCGTTTTATTTTGTAACGTGTATTGAATATTATACTGTAATTAATCGTAATAATGAAGTTGAGCTTAATAATCTGTGTTGTTGACATGTGTAATATTATTTCGATTGTGCAATCTTTATTTTTGTTCATATTGTTGTATTCGTAATAGTAAGTAGGTCACTTTTTTTTTTTTTTTTTTATACACAACGAGGAAGCTCTTGGCCTGTATCTCACCTGATGGTAAGTGACGATCAGGCCGAAGGTGGAAGCGAGCTTCACCCGGAATCCTCAACCACGGAGGAACTGGCTATCTTACCTCTAACTGCCGGAACACAACAATGCTGTTAACACTGTTGTTATGGCGACAGACTTAGGTAAGATGGTGGTAGCTAGCCAGGCGGACTTAGAACAAGCCCTACCACCAACCAAACCGAACAGAAAAATCTGCCCCCACTGGGAATCGAACCCGGGACCTCTGCGTCTGAAGCAGGTGGTCTTACCACTAGACCACAGAGGCGGTTAAATATTAAACTTCTGCAAATGATGATCGCCGCGACTCGGTGCGCGCCATTGATCCGCGAGATGTTTGAGTTTGTAAAACAATTTGCAATCGTGAGTCGAGAGCGTGATTTTTTAAATTGTATTATAATTATTTCTTAGCCATACACATCGTCGGATTAGTTGGGATTTTGTGATGTTCATAGTTTCTCGTAGGTAGTCCCTAGTTACGTTGTTGATAATATTGTATTGACTGTATGAGAGTAGGTGTTTAAGTAAGTTTCTACCTAATAGCATAGGCGCCTCACACGTTGGCCGCAGGGAGGCGAAGCCCTACTGAGCGAAACGATTTCTATATCGTCTGTATCTCTTAATCATACCACCTTACTGAGACAAGTGAAAGATACAGTTACAGCCGAATATACGAATCATTTTGACGCGTAGATTTACTGAAGTATTCATAATGTTTATACCGTAATCCCATGTGATAATAACACGTGTGCGTGTATACCTAAGAGTACAATCTAAATCAACAGTAGAAACTCGTATTTGACAGCTTTGGAATCTTCCTGCTAAGGAAATAAGTCAATAGCTGTCAAAAGGGAGTATAGATCTACTCGTAAAACGGTTGAACGTGTTCACAGTGCATCAGCGCAGCGGGTGTTTAGTACAATAAAGTGCGCGTTACAAAGTTGTGATTATAACTCGATAATAACTTTAGTACTAATGTAGCGACGTTAACGTTATGGTCGGTCCAGCGACGCACGCTCGGTTTTATGTCGGTAGACATGAATGCGGGCAGGTTCAGATATTTTTCTACCTGTTCCCATTTTGTAAAGTCTAAAGTTTATGACCTCATAAACAATGTCTTGAATTCCTTAGGCAGGAAAACCTGACAGACAGGTGTATAAATATGCATTAAATTTGTATCTGTAAAATGACGTAAACAAAAAAGATTAGATGCACATTTCTCTACCTATCTACGTATTCTACGTATTCATAAAACCGAAGCTCAACGCTCGTTAGGACCGATTGAACATTCGGTTCCCCGTAACTTTAAAGCTTAACGTGTGAGGGATGTCGTAGGTTATCGTTTGAAACCTCACTAGGTGATATATAATTATAAATATAAGTATAATAAAGAATGGCGATAGTCTTATCGGATGGTTTCAACAAATAGCACAATTATTAGCTATAGAGTACCAGGACGACGACGCGAGCGAGTATCGCAAAATGTTGTACGAAATTGATATCGTTACGAAAGCAATAAATACATTATAGTTCAATTTTTTATTCGTATTCGTGATTTGACGTTTGAATCGTAGACACCTTGCAATAGGAATCGTTGAAAGTGATAGTTCAAATGTCGAATTACTAGTTCGAATTGAAAATCCGAATTGACTTTCTTCTACAGCGGGCGGACGCCGCGGTCAATTCGGCCCTAGCTCCTGGACTATAACATATCACGTGACACGATAGTTGGTTTTGATATTCCCCAACCTAGCGCCGCTCCGCCCGCTACTGTAAGGCGGTGTTGCTTTACTTTTGTTCCATGGTGTAAGTGAATATACGGATATTTAATAAAGAAAAATACGTTATATATTTACAAAATGTGGCTGCTGGCTTTGCCCAGTGTACTTTTCGACCTCTAAACTATAAAATAATGTTTCATGTTGGTGTATGATAATAATGCTAAAAGAGAATAGCGAATCTTTGAGAGTATACACTATACAATAATAATGATAATTAGGTGTAAGCGTACAAAATTGTAAATATAAATAAAGCCATAGACTAAACGGAACGAAAGTGAAGATGACATGCGCAATATCCTTTCCTTTATCACTATAGTAAATAAATCACAACTGTACGTCCAAATTGTCCATTTATATGTTAATGTACCTAATACAAATTACAATAATGTAATCGTTAGACGTATGTTAGATCACTTGTATCGAGGGATGAGGCGGCACGACGGCCCGAGGGCGCAGCGGGATTCTTACTTGAGTTACACTTCGATGACTATCTAAAAACTTATTTTTACTGTACACGTAAGTTATTTCATATTTTAACTGAATAAAATCGAAATGGTTATTAAACGTGGTGTTTTAATTATCCGGTGTCGTTTTTGATAGGTAAATCTACCTAAACTTTAAATAGCTGAAGACTGGGTATACTTATTCGAATCAGGCATATGAATTATGGGTGAGATAAAAACGTTGAGCCAGCGCGCCACCGCGCGTGTCGCTCATACGGACGACTCTCATGACTACAAAACTGCTTCACATTTACAAGGATTTAAGTTCCTAAAGCAAAATCTCATGATCCTTTCAACTGGTGGTGGCAGAATTGATGCCATTAAATTTTGAACTTTAGTAAGTTATGGTTCAAAACCAATGAAAAATATTTTTCCCTTTACCAGTTAAAGGGTTAAATCATTTATTCTTAGGGCCTCTGCTAAAACACTTGAATATATGGAGTGGTTCAGCGCGCGGGCGCCCGCGTGATTTTAATTAAGCGGAAGAAAGCAGCAGAAATGAAAATGAGGAAAACACAAGCACAAGTAACAAAAGTGCTCTACAATGGTTTACTAAGAAATACCGTTAATGGATATCGTTATTATTGTCTATGGAATGTTTCTGAACGAGTGGAAAATGAATGAACTAAAATACATAGTCCAAAGCCGTGAAACTTCCATTTTTTTTTTCAGTGACATCTGTCAAAGTGACAGTTTGCAACTGCGGCTGGTGGTGGTGTGTGTGCATTTTTTTGTGTTATTTTCAACAGCACGAAAATAACATGTAAAACAAAATAAATATCAATAAAGCCTAGGGAAAAAGTGAATTAATTAAGTTCATACTGTTATTTCTGATCGTCTCAACTGCAAGCTATAATCATGGGGGACAAAGATAAGTCTAAACTCAATGCCCAAAACAAACACATTCCGAAGGACGCTCAAGTGATCATGTCCATCATGAAGGAAGTGGGGATCACGGACTACGAGCCCCGCGTCGTGAACCAGCTGTTGGAGTTCACGTACAGATACGTCACATCGATATTGGACGATGCGCGCGTTTTCGCCAACCACGCCAAGAAAAAGACGATTGACCTGGAAGATGTCCGATTGGCCGTCCAAATGCAGTTGGACAAATCGTTCACAAGTCCCCCGCCACGCGAGGTTCTTCTAGAAGTCGCCAGAACTAAGAATGTGAACCCTCTGCCGTTGATAAAGCCACACTGTGGTCTGAGGTTACCACCAGACCGGTATGTACCAAGTTTATGGTGTTTATTTTATTGAAATCTTTGTTTCATCAAAAACCTCTTTTAATCCTCAAAAGTATAACAATTTCCATTCACATTAGTCATAGTTTAAGTAATAAGTTTGTTAATTATTGTACTAATAATTTGTGTCAATTTCCTTCCTAGTTTAGTTGTATAAATAGATTACTACAGGAAACCTCTGTATTTCAGTTATTGCCTATCAGCCTGCAACTACCGCCTCAAGCCCGCCAAAAAAGCCCCAGTCAAAGCCACCGTTGCTACGGCTCCAGCAATCAAAACAATCACCACAGCCAAATCAAACTTGGGTCAGCAGAATGTTGTGATGAAAAGACCTTCTGGTGGCATAGTCAACGTCTCTGCATCAAAACCTAATGTTGTACCTAAGCCTGTATTGAAGTTTACGTCCAGTAGCAAGGTAACCATTACAATAATATTGCAGTTTAAACTTCCAGTTTGAATATGCCTCATAAGCAATAAAGTAATTAATGGGCATTAGCCTACATCATTTAATTCATGATGAATTAATTTAGTCTACATTACATTTGTGATGTGAATGATGTGATTGATTAATGACATAAAATATACAAGGAGACCAGTGACAGACCTATATTGTAGGTTTGATTGTTATTGATTAAATCTTTGCCATAGGTTGTGGCCAAGCCTGCTGTACGAGTGACTGCCGGGCCCTCAGCCCAGGGGCCTGTGAAGATGGAAGTAGACGACCAGACTGGGGCTCAAAAGCGGAAGAGGGAGGACGATGACTATGACATGTAAAATATTTTATCTCTCACTAGGTTAAGGTTGATTTGTTAAGATTAATGAAGTATAGTGATTAATACAGATTTTTTTATTTCAATGGTATCAAGTTATTTCATTTGTATGCATGGGAGTGGTGAACGTATCCAAGGTAGTAGTAGTAGTACGTAGTGTAGTTTATGGGTAATTTCTGTATGCGATTTTTTCGCCCTTTACATCAGTAAGAAAACAAGAAATTTAAAAAATACTCAGACTTTATTGATTGATAAAACAATAAATAAATATTTAATAGAAAACAGATGTAAAGTCTGACACACTATGCTTACAACAACCATACAAAATAGATTACTCTTCATGATTACTAATTTCAGATTTCAGAATAATATCACTTATTTCTTCTCATACTTGTAGAAGCCTTCGCCAGATTTGACGCCGAGTTTTCCCTCGGACACCAGTTTGTTCAGTAGGGGGATGGGTTTGAAGAGGACCTGGTCGGGGTACTTCTTGTGCCAGCCGTCCAGGATGAACTTGTTGGTGTCCAGGCCGACGTAGTCAGCCAGCTCGAGAGGGCCCATGGGGTAGCCGGCGCCCAGCTTCATCGCGATGTCGATGTCCCGGGCTGAGGCATCGCCTGAAAACAATGATAGGAATGTAATAAATGAGGGTACATTTACTTTTGTACCAATTAATAACAGATACTGCTCTAATGTACTTATTTGCATTTGCAATGTGTAGAAACAGAATTTGTTGTAGAAGTATTATAAAGTAACAACAATAGAAATAACAGGAAGAACATTACCATAGCAAGATAGCAATGGGGGCAAAGTACTTTAGTACAAGGTCTCAGAGATATTAGCAATTTAAGCTTAGATTAATAAAAAATTTAAGCATTTGCTACTTCACCATGGAGGTCATTTGGAAACAAACTGATGCATCATTAAATTGACATTGAGATTATCTTATCATAAGATTTGTATTTTTGGCAATAATCATCATTATCTATTCTTACATAACTAAAGAAGTTAGCAACTTATTTTTACAACATTAAATAAACTTAAAACTTGTTCAGTAAAAAACATGTGAGAGTATAAAAAATATTCTATTTATGCCATGATTTTTAATCAGTTGCTGTCCCTTATTAATAAATTAAATAGGTCTGTGTAAAAAGTAACTAACCTCTCTCATACAGCCTGATGGCCTCACAAATGTAAGGTACCAGCAGTCTGTTGACCACGAAGCCGGGAGTGTCCTTGCAGGTGATGCAAGTCTTGCCCACAGCCTTGCCCCACGCCATCATGGCGTTGTAGGTGGCCTCTGATGTCTCCGCGCCCTTCACCACTTCTAGCAGGCGCATCACTGGCACTGGGTTGAAGAAGTGGAGACCACCAAATCTAGAATTAAAAATGAATAATTAACCCACTTGTTACGAAATTCACTTTTTCTATCACTTACCTTAAATCAGTCATGATAAATTTATCTCAAAATAATCGAGGCAAAACTTTATAGTTATTTACGTCAGTGTACTTATAAGACTTGGACAGTGCAGCGACACACCTCATCTTTCAAATGTTGCTCATAAAAATTGTTTACACTACCCACATTAGTAATAATATTTATGTAAAAGTGGTGTGCCTTTTAAAAGAATGCTAGTAACAAGTGGGTTAAGTAAAGAATGTGCTTTGAAGGATGAGAAGAACTTTTACAAGATTTACAGGTGACCTACAGCTTCAATTCTATCAGTTAAAAATAAAGTACTACCCTCTTCTATCTACCTTATCAAAACCATTTATCATTTCTCTAAATATGATTTATTTAAATTAGTATTCTCAATTCTTACCTGTCCTTCCTCTTAACCACTGAACCAATTTCATTGATAGAGAGTGAAGATGTGTTAGATGCCAGGATTGTATGCTGAGGGGCAGCTTCATCCAATTGCTTGAACAACTTATGTTTGACATCCATGTTCTCCACAATAGCCTCGACTACAAGGTCGGCGGTCTTCGCTGCGGCCACCGGGTCTGTGAGAGTCTTGATCCTTCCCAGGGACTCGGATACAAACTTCTCGCCCTCCTGAGGGTTGTCTTTGTAAACTTTTTTAGCTACCCGACCAAGGTTAGCTCCGATAGACTTCTGTGCCTTGGCCAGAACGTCCGGACTTACGTCTACGAGAGTCACATTTTGTCCGGCTTGAGCTGATACCTATACAAAACATAGAAATAACTTTATCGGTTGTTTTATAGAATGATGGAAGGTAATATGTGTAGGTATTCATATATGTACATAGATTAATATTTGTACATACCTGGGCAATTCCAGAGCCCATCAAACCGCCTCCAATCACGGTAACATTTTTGATTGCACTTTGTACACTAGCTGAACTTGAAAACTTTCTTGCAATTAACCCGAACTGCATCATTATAATATTTTTTTGGTAATACTGCGTAAAATAGCAACTTCCGAGTTGCTTGACTTATCTCAAACAACAACTAAAGTAAAATAAATTAATCCAACCAAAATTCCAAAGTTCACTCTGAAAACGATCAAGTGGCGGGTGAACGCACTCCGCAAAAAATGTGGTACACTCATAACTCGAATGAAATATTTCACCTACGAAGTTACTGGCTATGTGTTTATCTCACTCTATTTCCAAGTTATAGAAAGAGTTAAATGCATAAGGGAGTTGAAAGCAATGAGGTTGAAGGGGTACCGCTGAAAAGTTTTGACAGCTGTCACGAAATGACAGCTACTTGGGCACGTAAAGTTCATTCAAATACCTAGTGTTAAAATTTACAATTAATTTAATTCCTAATTAATAATCTACCTACTAATAATATATAGTAAATTAGATTAATTAAGGAAATAGTTGAATTAATAAAAAATTACACCTAGAGTAGAAAAAATTGCTAATACACGATACTTTTTTTTTTATTACAACTACCTGCTGTAATTTTGTAGAAGTTTTGGAACGTTTATTTATATGTCGTCCTACCGTGTGTTTTGAGCAATTTTGTAAATAATTTCATTTTTCGTTTATTCCCATTAAATTGTTTATCATTTTAATATTCTAGGTGTGTTACTCTTGCTGTGCGCAACGAAAAATGCTCACAATGTGTAAGTATTAACTAAGTTATTGAAAGCTAAGTTTTATCATCGATAGAATAATCTCCGTATAAGATAAAATTTTAACTGTAGCGCCAATTTATAACCGGATTCACGTCAGGCGGGCCGCGGGTAGTATTTGTGCCGGTCGCGAGTTACATCGTCGCGTCTTTTACTACTTTCTAACGCGTTTTGTAAAATGAATAAGTTGATCGGCGTCACACGGAACTTTTGCAGTTCCTCAACTCGGAATGCAATCAAGACGGTCACGGTGGTCGGCGGAGGCCTCATGGGGTCAGGTATCGCCCAGGTGAGTTTGTTTTGGAATTTGTCAAGATAATGCTGCCTTATCATGAACTTTGTACTGCACTGTTGATAAGGATTTTAAGATGTTACTATGTTATTTGCATTCCCCTATGTAATCTCCCAATGCAGCTACAAATATTGTGTAATTGTATTTGTCTTTTTTAAAATTTTCATGTAAAGACCAGAATCTAACATTTATTGGTACAGGTTGCAGCACAGGCCGGTCAAAATGTGACCATCGTTGACCTACAACCAGAAATCCTTGACAAAGCACAGAAGTCGATTCAAAACAACCTCGTACGAGTCGGCAAGAAGCTGTACAAGGATGACGCTTCCAAGGTGGAGGCCTTCGTGAAAGATTCCTTCGATAGAATCAAGGTCGCCACAAAGGTCGAGGATGCTGTCAACGCTGACTTAATCATTGAGGCTATTGTTGAGAAACTGGACGTTAAACAGGAGTTGTTCAACAAACTTGACCAGGTAACACATTTTTATACTTTACTTAGGGTTCAAAGGTTAATGAATGTTTAAATCATTGTTATTGAAATTCATCTACCTACATTGGCACCTACTAACTAGAAATAGAAATATAGAAAGTATTTTTCATGAAATACTTGCTTTTACATGACTACAACCAGCATTGCCAGTGTTTTTTTTCGCCAAGTCGGGACTTTGTTTCTTTTTGAGTGAAAATAGCGGGATTCTTCTGTCAGAAGCAGGACATAGTAAAAAACGTATACAGGGTGTTTCTTGTAAGGTGTCAAGCCGAAGGCAGATGATAGGTGAGGACTAGACCTATCGATTTCACCCCCATGTATGTTCTACGATTTTTCGTAGTTTAGAAGTTATCGTTAATTTTGTGATTTTTTCAAATTTCATGACCTAGTGGCTTAATTTTTTTTTTATCTTTTTTTTGGGTTGACTTTTCTCAGATTTCTTTTTTTTGACAGATTCCCTATTAGTTGCAGATATTTGAAAAAAATAATCACCTGCCTATCTTTGATGCAAGATACAAAATTTTTGCTAGAAACATAAAAAATATGCTGTTAGCAGAACATTCTAAAATTTTCAACTGAAATGTATGAGAAAAAAAAAGAATTTCCATAGGTCCAAAATAATTTTAAAAACTGCGCAGTTTTCTAAACTTTCATAATAACACAAAAAAACATGTACTTAATAGGCCATTATTTTCTGTAATCGCTCTACTAAAGTAGTAAGTCGGAGATTCCGTTACATGTTTTTGACTTTCTTAGGACTAACTAATGTTTGCAATCCACTAAGTGTACGTTACGTAGAACACGTTTAGAGACAATAACTGAACAGAACATTTTTTATCCACAACGAGGAAGCTCTTGCCCTTCATCTGACCTGATGGAAAGTTGGAAACTGCTGGATGATCAGCGAGCTTCACCCGGAATCCTAAACCACAGAGGAATTGGCTGTCCTAAATAGGTAGTCTTACCACTAGACCACAGTGGTAATTGTTACTTTACGATTAAATTTGATATACCTACCTATTAGAGTGTGAAAGGAAAGAGAAAGAGTTTGTGTGTGTGTGTGTGTGTTTGTGTGCGTGTGTGTGTGTGTATGTGTGTGTGCGCGCGCGCGTGTGTGTGTACGTGTGTGTGTGTGTCTGTGAGAGAGAGAGAGAGAGAGCGAGCGAAAAAGGGTGCAATGATTTAATTTAAAGTAAATGTTCAAAATGTCCGTCGCTGACCTGAATGCACATTCGAAAACGACGCAAAACAATTATTCGTAAATTTACAAAAGCTTCTTGCATTCTAATATGGTTTATCATCAAAATTTTCATTCCCTTTTGTATACCACATGAAGAGCAAGAGCTTCCACGTTGTGGATAAAAAAAATCTTTTCAGTTATTGTCTCTAAATGTGTTCTACATATCGTAAACTTAGGGGATTGCAAATATTACTTAGTCCTAAGAAAGTCAAAAACATGTAACGGAATCTCCGACTTACCACTTTAGTGGAGCGATTACAGAAAATAATGGCCTATTAAGTACATGTTTTTTTGTGTTATTATGAAAGTTTAGAAAACTGCGCAGTTTTTAAAATTATTTTGGACCTATGGAAATTCTTTTTTTTTCTCATACATTTCAGTTGAAAATTTTAGAATGTTCTGCTAAAAGCATATTTTTTATGTTTCTAGCAAAAATTTTGTATCTTGCATCAAAGATAGGAAGGTGATTATTTTTTTCAAATATCTGCAACTAATAGGGAATCTGTTAAAAAAAGAAATCTGAGAAAAGTCAACCCAAAAAAAAGATTAAAAAAAAATTAAGCCACTAGGTCATGAAATTTGAAAAAATCACAAAATTAACGATAACTTCTAAACTACGAAAAATCGTAGAACTTACATGGGGGTGAAATCGATAGGTCTAGTCCTCACCTATCACCTGCCTTCGGCTTGACACCTTACAAGAAACACCCTGTATAATCAAAGGTTTTCAAATATTTATCCTTTTATTTGACTTAAAATTACGTTTACGTGACCGTGGCTAGCAAAAGTAGCCATAGAAAATGTATTTTAACAAAAAAAAATATTTTAAATCAGATTTACTCTATCGTTAAATTCGTTTTTAGAATAAAAAAACAAAAAAAAACAAAAATCGAAATAAAAAAAATATTCTTTAGAATAATATGGCGTTTCAAACAATAGTCTGGTGAAGTGAGTGTCTCTCTCCGAAAAACGGGACAGAGCCTGTCCCGCGCGGGACATTTAAATTTGATTTAAAAATCGGGACGTCCCGCCAAAATCGGGACGTCTGGCAACGCTGACTACAACTCAACTTTGAAATAATGCAGATAAAGTATTACCTAACAAATAATACTATAATTAAATTAATGTTATAAAATCATTTCAGCTTGCCCCAGGGCACACCATACTTGCAACAAACACCTCCTCCATCTCAGTCAATGAGATTGCAGCCGGCATCAAGAGGAAAGACAGGTATTGTATTCATTTTACATTATTCCCTATGTGATGGCACATAACAATCATAGCGTCGTTCATATTGCAATTTGTTCAATGTCAAAAAATTCAAAAAAAATTCTAACAAAATATAAATTATTTATGGAGACTTTTATATTTATATTAAAAAGAACAAACTGCTTAGGAAACATTAGTTAAAAAACATTTTGGTGTCTTAAAAGATTTTTTCCCGTAAGTACGCTGTTTTTTTACTCTCCTGTAAACTTGTCATTTTTGACATAGAACAAATTGCAATATGAACGACGATAGTCTAATTTAAAGACTAACATTATAGAAATCTTCAATATGTTTATTAATTTAAAGTACCTTAAGTATCTAGAAAGAAATCTTATTATAAGTTTTAATTACTGTTATACCCAATTTATGACACAATCGTTATGCGCATGACCTTGAGTTTACATTCATATTGTAAAATAGATAGATAGCTGCAGCAGTACATTATAACATGCCATAAATATGACAGTCGTCATGCATATGATGAACAAATGATAAATGTTGCGTTGCCTATTATTTGTTCTCTTCTACTACTTACATATTTAGTTAATTTCGAAACTGAAACCTCTTTTAAAATAGTTGCCTGAAGAAGTACTTTGATAAAAACTCAATGTTTGTGACTGATAACATAGATAAGGCTTTTATTTATTTATGAATGTCTTAAGGGCTAAAAAGTCGATATGGCACACATGAAGATAAAGAAGATATTAAATATATCTAGATCATGAAATATGAGTACCTCAATAACAAGTTTCTACCTCAATAAACCTGACGATATTCGGCAGTTTGAGTTATAATCTTATTACCTAGCAATGAATGAACTTGGACAGTGCAGTGGTACTTAGCTATGCATATCTTTTGTATGATCAAAATCAAAAATATTTATTCAATTTAGACCACAATTGGCACTTATGAACATCAAAATGAAAAAGGTAGCCCTTATGAGGCACTTTACATGTCTCCTTATCTTTTGGACCCTACCATGTATCTGTGAAAATCAATTAAACTAATAATTGCCAATGCAACCATTCAATCCAATTGAGTGCCTTTGCAATATCCAAAATTATTAAATGTTCTTAGTATTTAGTTCTCAGTTTCAAACCAAATATCCTTTCATTGCAGATACGGCGGCCTCCACTTCTTCAACCCAGTGCCAGTGATGCGTTTGCTTGAAGTGATCAAGGGCGAGCAGATGTCTGAGGAGACGTACCAGGCCATGCTGGCGTGGGGCGCGAGCATCGGGAAGACTTGCATCACCTGCAAGGACACGCCCGGCTTCGTGGTGAACAGATTGCTCGGCCCGTATAGCGCGGAGGCCATCCGGCTGTATGAGAGAGGTCAGTCATCATCATCATCATCATTTCAGCCACAGGACGTCCACTGCTGAACATAGGCCTTCCCCAATGCTTTCCATGTTGATCGATTGGTAGTGGCCTGCGTCCAGCGCTTCCCTGCTACCTTTGCGATGTCGTCGGTCCACCTTGTAGGTGGACGTCCCACGCTGCGTTTTCCGGTACGCGGCCTCCATTCCAGAACCTTTCTGCCCCATCGGCCGTCAGTTCTGCGTACTATGTGCCCTGCCCATTGCCACTTCAGCTTGCTAATACGTCGGGCTATGTCAGCGACTTTGGTTCGTTTACGGATCTCCTCATTTCTGATTCGATCTCGCAAAGAAACACCAAGCATAGCCCTCTCCATAGCACGCTGTGCAACTTTGAGCTTCTGTATAAGGCCTGTAATGAGAGGCCACGTTTCCGAGCCATAAGTTATCACTGGTAACACACATTGGTTATACACTCTAGTCTTCAGGCTTTTGAACAATTAAGAGAGGTCAGTACTTTTGAACAATTAATAGTGTACAGCATGTTAAAAAATTCATTGCTTTTCGACCCTGTAAGTGAATAAAGTTCAAATTATGGTGGCAATGTATTCGCCAGAGCCAGAGTAAATACAAATGAGTAGGTCATCTTCATAGAAACGCACCGAGCGCGGTTTGTATGTGAGCGCGCCCATACGTATACGGCGCGCACGCACACACTGACAAAATTCGGCGCAACACCCCGCTAATCTACGCTAAATTACAAACCGCGCTCGGCGTTTGTATGAAGATGACCTACTCATTTGTATTTACTCTGCCAGAGCCCTTTAAAGGCTTTTCAAGCAAGCATTCTTCATCCTCCATAAAGGATATTGTACCTACAGAAATACACAATATTATATTCATCAAAGCAAATCGTTTTTATGCAATACATGAGCAAATTGCATTATGCATGTTTTATCAGTAATCCGGGAGTCAAGATATACAAGTTCTGCTTAGTTTGGGAGTTTTTCATTTTCATAACCAATATTAGAAAAATGTACGGAGCCATAGATATCGAGTCACTTTTTGAAAAATCCTGAAAAAAAGGTGGCTGTTTAATTTCCATCTGTTGTACTCTTTAATTTTGGACTTGAAAAGAGTGGGATGCGTATGGATGGTGTTGGTTTCATTTGCTCTGGGTCTGAAAAATTTTACCTGTAAGTACATTACTCTTACATTTGTCTCTTTCTTGCTTTTATTTATGTATATCTGTTTGTATTTTGACATGTTGATTTCATACTTATTTTGTCTTGCGCTCAAACACACTTACATAATATTACTTATTGTGCTTTAAAATATAGGGTGTAGTGGCACATTGGCTTATTTTGGTTCAAGTCAGTTTCACCATCATCATCATCATTGATATGAATTTACTCACTTAAGCTTCTAATTATATTAAGCTAACTATTATATAAGACAAATACTGCTAGTATTAATCCTTCAAGCTCCGCGAATCTAGACACAATAGATAAATAATCAATTGTTATGACATTAATTAAAGCCGTCTGGGACTCAATCGGTTAAGTAGCACTTAAAAGCTGTGGATGTCGTAAAAGGCGTCTAAAAAAAAAAAAAAAAAAGTTCCTACTTATTTGATTTTTAGCGTATAGAGTTGCATCTCAAACTAATCTAAAAAGAAATGCTCCGCTTCTACAGTAGAGAATTTAAAAATTAGAGAACTTTATGGCCTTATGAAAAAAAAGTGGTGGTTTTGTCAAGTTTAGGTACACATTTCATATTATGTTCCTTCTATTTATAATCCACATATTGATAATAATCACAGCTCTTTTTTCCAGGTGACGCCAGCAAAGAAGACATCGACATCGGCATGAAGTTAGGTGCGGGCTACCCCATGGGCCCCTTCGAGTTGGCCGACTATACCGGCTTAGACACCAACAAATACGTCTTGGAGGTCATGTATAAGTTGACCAAGAACCCGGTGTTTGAGCCCATCCCGTTGCTTGACAAGATGGTGGCCGAGGGCAAACTGGGCATCAAGAGTGGAGAAGGGTTCTATAAGTACAACAAGAAGTCTAAGATTTAATGGGTTACTTTTGAATTTCCTTTATTGTCAGAAATCCCGATTTAAACACAAGCATAGATACAAACTTTGAATCTATTCTTATGTAGATTCATAATTGAGTCTCTTTTCATTCTGGCATGATTCTCAAACATATTACGGGCCTATACTCCATTTTTGCATTTTTTTATTACAGCGATTCTGGATTATACAGAGTTTAAAAGCGAATCTGCTTGCAGTATTTGCCCGAGGGTCGATTCTATTCTCTTGTTATATGTTACTAGCTTTCCGCCCGCGGCTTCGCCCGCGTGGAATTTAGTCTGTCACAGAAAAAGTTTATCGCGCGCGTCCCTGTTTCAAAAACCGGGATAAAAACTATCCTATGTTCTTTCCCGGGACTCAAACTATCTCTATGCCAAATTTCATCAAAATCGGTTGCGAGGTTTAAGCGGGAAAGCGTAACAGACAGACAGACAGACAGACAGACAGACAGAGTTACTTTCGCATTTATAATATTAGTTGGGATATTGTCTATTATCATATTACATCAGACTTTTTCTATAATATAATGTTGTTTAGCATATTAGCATTTATTCAAGGTAAATGGTATTATGTTTTTGCAATGTATTTTTATATAAATATTTAATATTGAACATGACAGACTGTTTTCGAATTGTATTTATAGTAAAATAAGTAAACTGTTTTTATTTATCAATTAAAGTAATAAGGTGCACACTTGTTTACAAAATAAAGGTTTCTTTTGGTATATAATGGGTTTTAATTTTATTAATTCCTTGTGAATACTGTTTATTGTATTGTATTTACTGTTGTACAGAATTTGCAGAAAATAATTGTACAAAGTAAAGTTTATGATACGTATGTAATGTAATGATAAAGTTTATCAATAAAAAACAGCCATAAAAATATATAAAGTTATCTTTCTTATCGTTTGCAAGTAAATTAATTTTTTACGATTTCTAAATGCATAAATCTAGATCTTAGTAAGTAGTTTATACATATTATTACATCTAATGCCAAATTAAGCAGGGCTTGTATACTACAGTACTCACAAATAATTATTATTGTAATACCTGTATTATCACATTCTAACACTTATATTACTATTATGGAAGCAATAAACGTATTGAGTATACACCTCAGATCAATTATATTGTTAATGCACACTAATGTTTGTATGGGGCTATGGTTGAACCCGCGACTTCTGAAATGTAATGTTGCAGGCAATAATATACACAGGAAAACGATTTTTTTATATTGCTAAAGTGCGCATAGTGTCATAAAGGTGTAACTAATTTAATCCGATAAAAATAATAAAATAAGATAATTATCGAAGCGATTACTTTTATCGATTATTACGTAAATTGCCGTGATATTGAACATCGTCAAGTTCAGTTTGACGATTAGATTGTTAACTATTTTTGGTAAGCACAATATCAATCATAATTATGATGAATGAAAGTATGGTCGAAGGCATGTCAAGATACACACTGACTGGCAGCTTTAAGTGGTTTTATTAAGTGCTCTTTTGCAATAAAAAATGATTTATGGAATGTCTACATTACTAATTCTTTTCAAGTTGCATTTAGGTAATTGCAATTTTTAGGTATTATGTAGTTGTTTTCTGTGGTAGAATTTGAAACAACAAAGCCGGGTCTCCAGCGCATGTTTTGCACTACACAATCAACAAAAATATTCAACATTTTTTGTAGACAATTTTGTTGAATGTTGAGATATTTTTGTTGATTGTGTAGGGCAAAATACGCACTGGAGACCCGGGTTAAAGCAGCTATGTTAGTGCATGCAAAAACATAAGTACTGTTATTGCTATTAAAAATATGACCAAATTACATAAATTAATATTTTTCAGGAGACGCATCTGCCCAGGACATAGACATAGCTATGAAGCTTGGAGCAGGCTATCCCATGGGACCCCTGGAGCTATCCGACTACACAGGCCTGGACACCAAGAAGTTTGTCCTAGGGACCATATACAAGAAGACTAGCAACCCAGTGTTCAGGCCCATACCTCTGTTGGACAAGTTGGTCGAAGAGGGAAAGCTTGGGAGAAAAACTGGGGAGGGGTTCTATAAATATTAATTATACTTGTAAATAAATTACCTACTCGAATCAAAATAGTATTTTTTATTTAATGGTTATACTTATTTCCTATCTTACCTACCAACTCGTATGTAACACTTTTTAGTTTGATGCCGTACAAAACTAAAGAATCACTATACAGAAATTGGTACGTCACAATTTAGGCGGGTTTATCGTTGGGAAGAGATCTCTCCAGAATATGTAAATGAATCGATTTAGTGTCCAAAGAAGATCGATGATTTAGTTAACTTTACCGCTGCAATGGTGGACTTCTAGAAACTGGGAACATTTTCATTCAGAAACTAAGTTCAATATTATAAACCTGTCCAGTTGTATTAGTAAGAATTACAAATCAATCTGTGCTTCATGTACTACATAACTGATGATTAAACGTACAAGTATTCACATTAAAACAAGGATTAAAAATTGGATTATCTTTTAAGCCTAGTGCTTAAATTTGATTTAACTCCGATAAATGAAGGCCGACTGGTGGTTTTCATACCGGACTACAAAGCCAGCTACGGTTGAGGGGATCGAATCCCAACGGGGGCAATGCAGATGCTAGTCGCTATAATAAAGCCGGAAATATACGCTTATGTGTATGTATGTTAAATGTTAATTCATTTGTATCCTTATCCGGTATTTAGTCGAAACTATTGACTATTATTTTTGTTGCAAAAAAACTATCTATTTCAATCGAATATGATGTTTGTGTGTTTTGTTTACTTTCTTTCTTAAAATAATAATAATAATAATAAATAATAATAATAAAATCTTTATTTAAGCAAGACAGATTTACAAAAAACGGAATGAAAAGAATCACATCTTCCTTTTTTGTTGATAGGCAAGTCTTTGAGATTTCGATAATGGTTAAGTTAAACATTTAGGTACAAACCCAAAGTAATTCTACGAACGAAAAGAACAAACTCTTAGTTCGGCCCTGTGCACATTTATTTATCTTCAGTGCGAATATCGTAGCTTAAAAGTATATTGTTTGATAAAGACAAGTCAATCTTGATTTATGTATTGATTAGATAAATCCCGTTTTTCTATTACATTCGTATTGTGCTAGCATCGCATCGCCCGCGGTATAAGTGCCAAGATTTCTCTGCGTAATTTTCAAGTACGTTTTCAAATAATTAATTTTTGTAACTACCCACATTTTCGCAGTCTCAGTGTGTCATGTCGGATCGAATTGATTGTGATTGGAAGTGTGAGAATAAATTTGTATTTTCGTGATTGCATGTGTTTATATCGAGTGTTGATAAGAGATAAGCGAAGGAGTGACTTGTGTCTTAATAAATGCTATTGGTTTCCCGTATACGAATGTAAAATGTGATGTGATAGGAAGTTTAGTGACGGTCACTTTTTACTATTTATTACGAATCGAGGTCACGGTAGGTGCTCACATTGAGATGTCCTCCGATATCTTATTATTACTTTAATAATTATAACCGGTTGTGGAATTGGTATTATTTATAAAATATGTGTCGGTCGGCTCCAAACAAAAGTGGTGTAAAAGCAAGCAAATTGTAATGACTCATTTCTTGGTGTAAATTATTTTACGGACGCATTAAATGTATGGAAGGTAGGAAAGGAATTTAGAAAAAAATGTTACTTATTTCTTAGTTTTGGTTTTGTTCGTTAAAACTTCGTAGGTATTCAAGACTATATTTTATTTGTGTTCGAATCGTACCTAGCTTTAAAATTTTTTCTACATTCCTAATTTTGCTCAAGCTCTGACACTAGATAGAAAAGATGTGTGTGATGTTTAGTTACATTCAGGTGTGATATGAAAAGTAACAAGTGAACGTATATTTTAAAGACTGTAAACCCTTGAAAAGGAGGCTGACAAGAGTGACTGAGTTTTTTGCGCTGCTTCTTCTCAGCACTGGCCCATTTATTGTCCCGAAGCAGTGGTGGGGTTAATACTGGGACGTGTAAAAGTGCTTTTTAAAAGCCCATTTGCAAAAATGAATGAGTTTTATGCGTTTTTTCTCCACCAGGTCTCAAACTAAATGAGTGATGAACCGGCCAAGCAGTCACGCCCGCTGCGTCGGCAGCGCTCCATCTACCAAGTGCACTACGCGCTCCCTCGAAGGACTACTGAGGACATGGCCACTCCTCTGCTGACACCGTGCGGGAGTCTCGCACTCCAGGCTTTCGGGCTGCAAGTCGCGGGACATAGGAAGAGCGAGGACACTAAGTTCACAGGTGAGGTTATGAGTGACCCATTGTCCTAGGTGAGCGACGGGACGTTACATGAAGGGACGCAATATGACGCTATGCGACGTGATTCGACCATTGCTCTCGCGACGTGTGGCCTACCTACGCGACTACGTAGGCACTACTGTTTTTTTCGCGTTCGGTTGCTGCGTTTGTCGTTCACCCAGGACAACGGGTGATGAACCAACCAAGTATAGTCGTGCTCCATCTACCAACCCAAGTAGCATTTTACTCCATTTAAGAGTTCACATTTAGTTCCAATGTGTACTTAAAGCATTAGTACAGTTCACTCGTGATGTATAAGCTGTATTATTGCAATTAATTACACCTATACCTGTCTAAGGGACTTATAGGAGTGTAGACTAGTGTAGAGTTATACTTTTATACGATTGTTGGTGTTATAATACTCTAACAACTATCCTTTAGTCAGCCGTCTGACTAAGAGCATTATAGGAGGGTAGAGATACGGCAACCGCTGTTTAACGGCCTACTTGTACGATGTTATAGAGCTAGCATTTTAATAGAACACACGTGGTCATTTATAAAGCCAAAGGCTGTTATGTTTACTTGTTTTAGACTGTTATACAGCTAGTAGCTGTAGTAGGACTTGTTTGTGATAATTAAAATAACCTTTTTTTACTATCTGTACAAAAGTGTTTCAATGGTTCGCATGTACACTGTAGGCTGTTAAAAGGACTATATGTGTTGTCCATTAACATCAATAGCAGTTTATTTGTCCACAAGTACTACTCTTATTTGCTTTAAGCTGAACACGAATGTGAATGTGATATTCTATTACACATTTCCCCAAGCCTGTTTTTAGTTGTTCATGGTGGTTCTGTACATGATGCAGAGGAAAATATTATGCCTGAACCTGAAATTTCCCTTCAAAATATACCAGATATCAGAGTGTGATGATTGCAGTTCTTGTGATAGTGAATACCATTTTGATTTGGACAATTATTTAACCTTTCGAAAAAAAAAATAAGAACATGGGCTATTGAAAATCGTATTCCTCATTCCGCTTTGAATAAATTGTCAAGCATAATAAACGAATTTAAACCGGGAACACTACCGTCTGATGCTTTAGGTATTCATACTTGACTATTAGTACCTGGGCTAGGCGATTTAACGGACATTAATAATTTTTATTGCGGATCTCTAAAATTTCAGTATTTGAAAGAATTAAAGATACACAATTGACCTGAACTAGGTACATCTTAAAGCTGTACATAAGTTCACATTAGAATAAATTTATAGACATTAGCGCTGTAGTGGTACAAATGTGGAACTTCATATAGATAACAGCATTCTAACAGAACACATGTGAACCTAATATACGCTCACCGCATTAAATTGGAGTTATAACAGTTCACATAGCCGTATTTCATTTCCACCATTTTGTTCTACATAACCTAAAATATTTACCAAATAAATCTCCAAAATTAATGCAGATTTATCACAAAATTCGCAGATAGAGCGATTGAGTTTTGGTTTCATGTTATAATTAATTACCGTAATATAATTATAATGCCAATCCAATATCAAAAACTGAAAATTGTAGATTTCCTCTCAACCAGTTTTAAATATTTTAAAATGAATATCGCGTTTTTACAGAGGCGCGTAAATATTTTAGCTGTAAATATGTATACATTTCACGATAAAGTTGCATTCCCAATGGCATTAACATTATTAAGATAATTTAAAACCCGTGTTATTATTTGCATAAATGATTATCCGCCCGAGTTGTTTCCCTCTTGGCACTCACGTACAAATACCAAACTAATATTAAAATGTGGAAATAATTTAAGACACTCGTGAACTTTAGGTAGCATTGGAGTACTTTTGTCGGACTTTATAACTTTGAAAGCTGTGCATTTAGTCACTTGTTACTCTTTATTACACTCACGTACGTTGTATGGTTCACACTGCGTCCCATATAGTGCCGTAAGTCAGCCTTAAGTCCGATGTTACTACTTAAACTGCTATTATAATGCTATTATACTGCTAATGTACAGCCATAGTGAACTTAAGGCTGTCTAATTTGTGCCCAAACTGGTTCTATAAAAGCATTATAGCAAGCTATACAGCTCGTATACAGCTGACATACACAGCTTGTGGAGTACATGTGAACGACTAGTGAACTCTTAAATGGAGTAAAATGCTACTTGGGAAGTGCACTACGCGCTCCCTCGAAGGACAAAATTTTTACAAAATTCAACCCCTAAGGGGGTAAAACGGGGGTTGGAAGTTTCCACGCGTACGAAGTCGCTTGAATACAAATGAATGTCAATGCTATCAAGAGTTGATCAAACAGTTCGTTTTTATAAAACTCCTGAAATTAAACAACACAAAATTCCTATTCCTAAAACAATAGATTGAACATGCTCAACCACTTCTAGGGCTCCTCCAATGCAACGGAACAGTTCTCAAGCCCATCTTGAAAGAGTCGCAGAAGCGCGAGGTGGAGTTCTACACGAGGATCAAGGCTTCCTCCGACCCTGAGCTGGTGGAGCTGCGCAGCTTCGTGCCCAAGTACTACGGCTGCAGGAAGTTCACGTATAGAGGCTTCGAGCAGGACTATATCATCCTGGAGGACCTCACGCAGAGGATGCTGGAACAGTGCGTCATGGATGTTAAGATTGGTAAGTGATTGATGACTTATTGTTTAGCTGCTTCTGTAGTTTGGTGGTAAAATCACCTCAATCCCAGAGGTACCGGGTTCCATGTGGCAGTAGCGGATTTACAGATTTGCCGCCCGTGGGTTGTGGGGGGGTGTTGGATCTCATTCAAAGTCAAAGTCAAAATTTCTTTATTTGTTTAGACTAATAAATAGTTCTTACAAATCGTCATTTTGCTCTTAAGGAGCCTCTACATGTCTCAATCTTTTTTTTTTTAAATTTTAATTTTAATTTTATCTTCTGAAATCAAGTAACCTTCCTCTGAAATCTTCCGACCCTAGGACGCTGCTGTCCCAAGGCCGCGGCCTATACAGCCTATTGACAAATCATTATTTCCACTTCTCTTCTCTACTCCGCTCCACGTCGCCACCGCTGTTAAATTCTATAGACATATTATTTGACAGCCCGATATGTCTCCGCTCCGCTCCGCTTTGGTGGAAATCGGGTCTAAGGGAAAAAATAAAATGAAAATCAGGCCTCCCCAATTTGACAGGCTAGCGGGTAGCCCGAATTTCTCCAAATGCTTCTGGTTAACTAAAACACGTGTCCTCTTGTAGTAAAAACTACATTACCTGATGATTATTATTTACCTTTAACTAGAAATTATGCTAACTATACCTTGATTTTTTAGAATCCAGCAGAGATGTAAACAAACACTTTCATACACAATTACACCATAATCACTTACGTGTTCATAATATCATACACACTATATAACAAGCCCATGAAACCAACTTTATTTTCACGTTTATACAAGTTTGAAATCAATCTTTGAAACAAATTATTTTAGCAAAATACGTGGACGATGAAAATTTGTGACATTGTCAAATTGACTTGACGTTTAAAATCATGTGTTATCTCCATTTTGTCTATGACTTGTCTCTGACACATCAGTGCCGTAACCTGTGAGTCATAGACAATAATCTGTAAATTTAATCGATATTATTTTAAGCATTCACTTATTCCGATTACTGATTAATTTTAAATAAAAAATATACGATACTTTGCTTAGTTTTCCAGCGATAACTTCGACAATATTGGAGATAACGTAAATTTATTTTTCTACTTTTAGTGTTTACTTTTTCGGAGTCAGTTTAATTTTTAGTCGGTTTTATTTAAACGAAATTATTTTACTTTTTTATGCAATTATGCTTACGTATTGTTCCATTGTTTATTTTTAAGAAAATAAAAAACTTCTTTCAATGAGGGTTTTCGCGATTGAAAAATCCGCCAGATGGCAATACGTAGACGCGAGGTCCAAATGCTGCATGATTGGTTATTTTTGACATGACATTGACAGATATGTCAAAATCCACCAATCACGCAGCAAGCAACAGCAAGCAACAGAAGTTTAATAACTTTACGGATATCATTGATTGTTTTACTGTCCAGTGTGCTTTTTGATTACATCTGTGCATACAGTTTGTTTCCTGTTCTCGAAAATTTGATAATCAGTTCACATTCAATGTTGCGACTTTGTTGCATATTTTTAGTATTTTGACGATCACCCGGCGATGATACGCAAGTACTACAACATTTCACTTCGCGATTAACGAGAGGTTTTGTCGCATCACTAGTTCACAGACTAAAAATATTTTTATGTCAGTTGGCCATATTTGATGACATTTCTGCTGATTTCTAAAAAATTAGACTGTACATTTAGATGCTACATTGTCGTTCGTACTTACATTATTCTTTATTCCGATTTCCAGGCAAAAGAACCTGGGACCCGCTCGCCTCGGAACAAAAGATCAAGTCCGAGCAGAGCAAGTACGCCGCGTGCAAGCAGCAGTTCGGCTTCTGCATCCCCGGCTACCAGGTGCACAAGCTGGCGTCCGGCAAGCTGCTCAAGTTCGGCAAGGACTACGGCAAGAAGCTGCACGGACGCATGGTGAGAGAGGGTGAGACGCATTTTTGAGGGGATATGTACGGGGAATAGACAGTTTGACACCATACCCCAATGATTCGAAACCACAACTTTTAAAAAGACCCTTCATTCTGGTCTTAAAAACTTAATTAATTTTAAATTACATATAAATTACGATTACGGTTCGCATTGTAATTGAAAAAAGTAGTTTAATTGAGTTGACAAAATAGTGACGTCACTTGCTTGTAGTGCCATAGAAAATTTATGGGAGAGTTTCGTTTTGACAGTTTTAAAAAGTACGTCAATTGACTGGTGGTGTCAACATGTCTATTGTGTTATAGATCGTTTCATCCACGAAGACGCGCCCCACCATTCATCCGCTAATGTTTGAGTGTTATCGGTACACGCTAAATCATCCATGAGCGCACACGCACACCATAGTAATGATGCTCGGATTGCTCGGATCAAACTCCCCGCACCCCGCGCTTCACGAGACCAATTAGTGGGGCGTGTCTTCGTGGATGAATCAATCTATATCTTTGTCTATGTCTGTAAAACAACTTGGTACAGTCAGCGTCTAATAGTTCGCGATACTCAAAGTAGCCAAAAAGTACGCAACACATCTGTTAGAATTGGAATAAGGTTATGTTATGAACTATTTGACACTGACTGTACCAAGGAAAAGTTACACTTTTCACAGATACAATTTCGAAATCGCTTCACGTTGTGACACGTTACTACACGTACAAAAGAACTCCGAAACGAAGTAATTTCAAGTTTTGTGTCGAAAGCTCATAAATTAAATTCTGCATGCTAATTAATTAGTAAACTGTTACAATTTTTATGTTATTTTATTCGCCACTCGCGAGTGAGAGGACTTACTGTGGCGCCACCTGGTGGTCATTGAAACGGTGGGAGGACGTGTTGTAAACCTTCATTTAGTGCCCTCTATTTACTTATGAGCAACTGTTTGTAAAGCGCCATCTATGAGCTTTTTCCTTTCTTACTGAACTACCGGGACTTGGGACAAACTTGCAATGAGCCATAGATGGCGCTACATCTGTGCGTGCTGCTTTTTATCTATCGATGCGCACTCTGCCATTACTTCAAGACACTGCATCTACTGCGTGTGAAAATACAAATACCAACAAACAACGTCTCCTAAGATTTCCAACAGGGCGATTTAGCGCTGCGGCTGTGTTAGTTCCTGTCACTTTAGTATACGACAATACAGCAGTTGTTAGAAGACAGTTTATCGCAAAACATTCGTGGTGAATTTGCCCTCCTGGACAAGGCCTTGAGACATGATTCGACGGGTATTGTGGGACTAATACAAAATGTAATTTTCCAGCCATCCGTAACTACCTGAACGGCATCGGAGCGCCGCTGTGCCGCGCGCTCATACTTCAGTTCCTGACTGAGCTATGGAAGATACAGAAGTGGGCGCGAAGGCAGACGTCTGTGAGATTGTTCTCAACGTCGTTACTGTTGGTGTATGACGCGACTAGACTTCGGGAGTGCTGTGGGGAAACTGACGACACGCTCGTGTGAGTATTAACACTAAATTCCTCTGCAGGGCTAGATTTTTCAGCTGCGAAGGATACAGAAATGGACGCAGACATACAGGTCCTTTTGTGGAGGATACAGAAGTGGAAGTGAGCGTGAAGATAGACGGCCGTGAGATTGTTCTCAAGCAGTAGATACTTCTGCTTGTGTATGATGTGACATATTGTTTATATTTATTTATGTTAAGACATACCCGTTTCGTATTCTTTATTTTTTTTTAAATTTTACACTAATAGTCATGTACGACCCCTCGAGCTAAGCTTCCTGTATGATTGTGTTACGAGTGGGTTTACCACAATGGTTCAGTGGCAACGAAATTCAAAGTCCAACCTTCAGTAAGTCTGGAATCGTCTCTCTGACACCGATATCACTGGGCTAATATTGTTATCTGATTTAGGCTATGTTCACATGTAACGCGCGTTAACGCGGAATATTCAGGTCAACGCGGAATTAAATTTATAAAGAGTTCACATGACAAGCGCTAACGCGCGTTGCGAGGAGCTCGTCAGTCTGTTTGATAGAGCTTAGAAAATGGACGTGGAAGAAGCTATTGCGATGGAAGTGCGCGTCAACGCGCGATCGCCTGCGTCTAGACTTTTCCTCTGAGCGCCGCGTCAACGCTCGCTAACGCGCGTTAAAATTTTGCCATCTGAACATAGCCTTTGTCCAGCAAGTATAGTTGCATTGATATTACACCGGTCAACAAAACAAAAATTTTTTTTTGCGCATGGATTTTACTTATTATACAGGGTGTTAGGTAAATGGGTATATGAGCCAACACTAGTCCATGTTAACATATGCATATAAATGGTATAGTGAAGTCAGAAAATTGATATCATCATTTTAATTATTTTAATTTTCATACAAATCTAAATTTAAAATTTTTATTTTGTATGAACATTTAAAAAAATTTAAAAAAACATTAAAAAAACATTTAAAAAAATCTAAATTTAAAATTTTTATTTTGTATGAACATTTAAAAAATTAAAATGATGATATCAAATTTCTGACTTCACCATACCATTTATATGCATATGTTAACATGGGCTAGTGTCGGCTCATATACCCATTTACCTAACACCCTGTATAAGCAAATTTATATGAAAAAGTGCGATTACAAATCGAAAATATTTGCTTTTTAAAGAGTTATAGCGATTTGAATTTTCCATATTCATAGTAGAATGTCTCTAAAGATGCACGTCACATTCTCATTGGGATATATTTATAGATAATTATGGGGGCTTATTCGCAAGAACAAGAGGCACGCTTTCATCAAAATATAGTGGGATTTGAGAGACGACGTTACCAAGGCCAGTATACTGAAAGCATGATAGGGTTAGATTTTTATGATAAAAATCTTTTATGGAACGTGACAGGAAATTAGAACTTTGCATTTTTAATAAATATTTGGACTCTATTTTAAATTTTCTCTTGTGAGAATGAATCTAAATGGATGTTTGGTATTTTTTAATAATTAGAAAGAATGAAAGAAAGAACGAAAAAAAAATTGGCAACAAATTAAATCATCTCTATGTTCATGTTTCATACATTCATTGATATGAATTTTTCTATTTTTTACACATAAAAGCAAATTCAGAAAAAAATTCTGTTGTTATTCTTATTTCTAGGTATTAAAGCAATAAAAATAAGCTATGCATAACCCGTGCGCAAAAATGCTGTAGACAGTTGTTATCTTCCCCTCAGGTCGCGCGCGTCATGCCGGCCGCCCCTGCCGCGTCGGCGGCGCTCCATCCACTCTCTGCACGCGGGCGCGGGAGGCGGCGGCCTGCGCGGGCAGCTGTCGGCGCGCGGGCCGGTGTACAAGGCACTCGCCGCCGTGCCGCTCAGCCCTATGGCCGCCGCGCAGGTAACATACCGATTTCATTAAAGGCCCATTCACACATATCAGTGAAGTGACCTGCAAGCTTTCAAGAGGAGAGCGTATCTTCACCTTAAAGGCCGGCAACGCACCTGTGACGCCCCTGGGTCTGGCGACGGTAATCACTTACCATCAGGTGATCCGTCTGCTCGTTTGCCTCCTGTCACATAAAAAAAGTCACAGTTCTGAGCCCCGATTACGGTAACTTTTAACGTCTACAATCCAGACACGCTTCTCGATTCTGCGATACAGGGTGGATAAAAATCACGATTTTTTTATTTTAATCAAAAAAATCAGATTTTTTTAAAAAATCACGATTTTTTTGATTAATTTGATTTTTTTGATTTTTATTAGGTTCTGCGATCATTTCTTTAGTTTTTCTTACGGAATACATTTTTATTTACGTAGAATTGATGTATGGAGCAGGCAACACCGCCAAAAAAAATTAATTATGTAGTTATCTGAAAAATCGCAAATGTGATTATATGGAAAAATTAAATTTTTCAGATTCTCCATACAAAACGACAATTTCATACATTAACACCTAATATTAACATTGTTTTCGAACATTACAGTTGATTAATATTAACTCCCAGCCTTTCATTAAGTCCATTTTCGGTCATTGATTTAAATCAATTATTTTTATTAAAAAAATCATGTAATAAAAATCGTGATTTAAATCAACTTGATTTAAATCATGCAACCCTGCTGCGATACGATTGGTCGTTAAACAGCGTACGTCAGCTGTTTTGACCAATCGTATCGCAGAATCGAGAAGCGTCTCTGGATTGTAGACGTTAAAAGTTACCGTAATCGGGGCTCAGGCTCAGTACCGGCACAGTGCGAAATATTCTTTCATACAGTTTCTATGAACGCATCCCCATTTGTCAGTGTCAGTGCCGACACCGGCAATCACGGACGTATTCGTTGACGACGATATTTTTTGTCGGATCACGGACGCCGCCGCGGCATCAAAAACAAAATAACTTACTTCATAGTTTCTGAACAAGAATATTGAAACAGCTCTCTGACATTTTAAAATATTCAAAATATTTCACTGACGCAACACTGTAGCACTGGTACTGAACTGAGCGGACACTGTGACGGAACTGTGGCTTCACTGATATGTGTGAATCGAGCTTAAGGCTGATTTCACAGCTGACCGGGAGGCCCGTACTGGCAGACCGTGTGCCGAAGGCCCCGTACGGTTCACGCCCGCAGCGCTCTGAAACGTGGGTTCATTTAGTACGAAACGATTGCTTTGTACGGGCTCTCCCCGGAGCGGATCGCGTGCGCACCAATCCGCGTCGCTGTGAAACCATGTTCTAGCTCCTCATGTGTGCTCCCGCTTCGGGCGCCCGTAGTAACAGCCCGTACGGGTCTCCCAGACAGCTGTGAAATCAGCCTAAGAACTTTTTGCAACTAGGGGCTGTTCCAAACCAACACACGTTTAGCGCTATCTCTATAAACAGTTTGTAAAGCGCCATCTATGGTTCTTGTTACTTTCTTACCGAAGCCTAAGAACTTTTTGCAACTATAGTCTTTTTCACGTAAGATGATCCGTATGACACTTCAAGGTTATCCATATTACGCATACTACATATGCAGAATATTTTTGAAAAAATATTTGTATTTTATTAGGAATATAATAAAAAAAAAATTAACGACTTGTCTTGAAATATTATAGTAAAATCTGAGTCTATTGATTATATTTAAATTAAATACGATGTAAAAATATTTTTTATTTAATGTACGCAATGTGTGAAACGGAATAGATTTAGTGCTGGGGATTTCTTGTTTAATAAAAATCATTTCCGCGGTTCATTAATCGATTGCAGTGAATACTTAGTTATTAAAAACATCCCAAAAATCAACTATATTTTTCGATTATTGACTTTAATAAACGCATTGAAAATAAATTAATAGTTTTTAATTTAAAGAAACAGAACCAGTACTTTTTAGGAATCGTTTTTTTGAACAAGAACCATGAAATTTGAATATTATCAATAAAAAATTGTTACAATAATATTTGTAATTAAAAAAAAAAACATGTTTTTTGTTAAATAACACCAATACAAAATATTTCTCTAAAAGTAGGTTTCACTACCTCTTCGAAAAAAATCGATAGATAAATCGCTATGGTTTAGTTATGTGACATCTCTAAATCTTTCAAACTCGAAACGTCATACGGATCATCTTATGTGAAAAAGACTATAGGGGCTGTTCCAAACCAACACAAATGTTTAGCGCCATCTCTATAACAGTTTGTAAAGCGCCATCTATGGTTCTTGTTACTTTCTTACCGAAGCCTAAGAACTTTTTGCAACTAGGGGCTGTTCCAAACCAACACAAATGTTTAGCGCCATCTCTATAAACAGTTTGTAAAGCGTCATCTATGGTTCTTCTTACTTTCTTACCGAACTGTAGTTAGTTCGAGTTACGAACTAATTCATATAATGAATCATAGATGACGCTACACACTACGTCCGTGCTGCTTGCACGACCATTTTTACATTCCCTTTTGAACCACCGTCTGTAAAACTACACAAATAGTCGCTACACAATCATTTGTACGGAAATAACACTGAATTCCCGTCGTGCCACACTGCTGCTGTCTTTATTAACTTTATTCACATCTCTCCTCAGGCCACCTTCGCCCCGCCTCCCGCCATCAAGTCGTCCTGGACCGAAGCTCTCGACAAACTCAACACAAACCATTCCTTCGAGCACAACTACGAAGACAAACTCTCCAAGATCAAGATGAACTACCGCGCAATGCTGGACGAGCTGTCCAGCGACGAGCCCAATCCCCACCCGTGGGGCACCGTGAAGATCATAGACTTCGCCCACGCCTTCTTCAACGACGAAGAAGACGAATGCGCCGTCGATGAAAACTTTAGACAAGGCATCGACAGTTTTGTCGAGATTTTCGAAGATTTCCTCAAGGAGACCGAAGATCAGCTTTCTTGACCTGACGATACCGACTCAATGGGAGCAGCAAAATAAGGCTAAATTCCAAGATATGTTTTGACAACTAATTTGGCTTCAAAATAGGTTTTTAACTAACAAATTAGGCACTACCTCCATAAAAAGTCTAGGAATTTAGATTTTTTTAATTCGGATTTTATTGCTCAATGTTGGTACTGGTGATTAGATCACTTGTTAGGTAGTGCAGATCCTATTATTTAAGTTATAAGTGATATGTAAGTTCCAGTTAAATTGTTTGATAAAACGTTCTGTTAAAACAAGTTTATTTTTTTGGATTAAAACTATTTCTTGCCCTTACGTATGAGGGCTGCCGTATTTAGTTCGCTAGTTGGCGCTACTGACGGGTGACAATCTTACACTACAGTGTACAGTGGCTCCATCCTGGTGATATTGTTTTCCTACCGTTGCAACAGGTGGCGCCACTGTCTTATCATGACAGGGCCGCACAGTGGCGCCACCTAGTGAGATTGTTTTCTTGCCGTTACAACAGGTGGCGCCACCTAGTGAGATTGTTTTCCTACCGTTACAACAGGTGGCGCCACCTGGTGAGATTGGTTTCCTACCATTGTTACAACAGGTGGCGCCACTGTCTTACCATGACAGGGCCGCACAGTGGCGCCACCTAGTGAGATTGTTTTCCTGCCGTTACAACAGGTGGCGCCACTGTCTTATCATGACAGGGCCGCACAGTGGCGCCACCTAGTGAGATTGTTTTCCTACCATTACCACGAGTGGCGCCACTGTCTTAATATGACAGGGTCGCACAGTGGCGTCACCTAGTGAGATTGTTTTCCTACCGTTACAACAGGTGGCGCCACTGTCTTACCATGACAGGGCAGCACAGTGGCGCCACCTAGTGAGATTGTTTTCCTACCGTTACCACGAGTGGCGCCACTGTCTTACCATGACAGGGCCGCACAGTGGCGCCACCTAGAAAGATTGTTTTCCTACCGTTACCACGAGTGGCGCCACTGTCTTAATATGACAGGGTCGCAACGGTAGGAAAACTATCACCAGGATGGCACCACTGTGCACTGTAGTGTAACATTATTTCAAATTAAAAAATAAGTTGATAGTTTTAATCCAAAATATCGACTTATTTTTACAAAACATTAAAATACATTGATCATCAATTTAACTGGAACTTAAAACTTAAATACTAGGATATGACCTACCTAACAAGTGATCTGATCACCAAACCAACATTGAGCACCACGAAGTGGCGCCACTTTCGTAGCGTAACAAGGCCGCACAGTGGCGCCACCTGGTGAGCTATGTGCCAAAGTAATCAAGTCTTATAAGATACAGTAAATATTCGCGATGGAAGTATTTCATGTATAAAGTAATATAATATTATGTACTTATAATATGTAGTTTTAATTCTAAAATAACTACAAAATTTCGCTTTCGCATTATAAATATTTTATTTCGAAATCAGCCAAAATTACTTCCCAAATAAAAATTATCTATAAACTTAAATACCATCTAATATGAAAATCAAATGTTACATCCGGTCGAGCAAGCTGCTGTTAGTGGCTCGAGTCGCGCAATAAAAGTTCTTCAAACATGGACTTTGCAACGCGCTTGGGTCGAGTTTCGCTAGAACTTTTAATGTTACACAAGCTATACTTTTTACCTAAACAATAATACGCTACTAACATTCGAAAACGTTAAAATAATAGCTCCAAACAGATACAGCCACCTTAGTTATCAAGCTCAAAATGATTATAAAAAGAAACTAAAAGACTAGGACAGCGACTCTACGCTTTACACACGAATTTTAGTAGATGCATTATTAACACTATAATTATTTGTTACTTCTAACTAATCCTTGCATACTTAACACGTAAATAATCTTTTGCACCAGCTATCACATTGTGGATAGATAAGATTATTTCAACGAGTGTCACGCCACAGTCAAAGGGAAAGGGACAACACACTAAATGATTTCGCACCCATAAAAATAACGGTTCAAATCACTAATCTAAACACCGCTTTAATCTCCTTTCAAACCAAATTAAAATGTATTCTTGATGAGAGATACTTGAGCGACGTTTTAGAATATGAACCTTATGCGTGCCAAATCAAATTGAGATGACTTACTGCTCGATTTCACTGTGGTGTGTCACTTCACGTGAAACATGAACATTTTCGGAACTCGTGAACATTACACACTATGCTTCAACATTTGTATACAATATTTATAATCAATGATAAATGTATTGGAACGCTTAATAATGAGTATGTACGACTTAAAGATTTACATTTAAATTGAAAAAGTATAGCAGGTGTAGATGTCGCTGGACGTTTGACGGCAATATTCCGGCGCCGGGCGGCGGCCTTTGGCCGGGGACGAGGCAGTGGCGCCCGGGCATTTGAGACTAACGATACGAAAATAATACATATTGAAATCTATGGCAGTCGTCAAGGAAATACAGACCATAAACAATTTATTTTATTTTTGTCAGTTAGTCAAAATCAAAAGAATATGCCAAAATGAAAATATTAAGGTCCTAAATCAAAACAATCTATCCATACCAGTCAAAAAATTGGTGGTCAAGCCATTGTATGTCCTTGATGGCTACTATTCATTGTTCACAGACTGTGGCCCATTCACCCCATAGTAACTTAAAAATAAAAAAACTTAAATTTTTTGCGTCCAAAAAATAAATTCTTTTCAACAGTTACTGCTACGTCCAATTGCAAAAAATGCAAACCACTACCTACAAAATAATAAGAATTAAAATGAAATAAATATTGAATAATTGCATAAATTGTAATTCAATTCATAATAACTTGGCTTGCATTTTTTGCACAGTGCGGTCATAGATTATTGACTGAATGGACAAAAGTCTATTGTTTATGTTTGCTGTCTATGCCCGTGCGCCAGCGCACGTCGATTGTCAACAAAGGCTCAATGAACATGTTCTAATATTACACAGTTTAGGCCGATTCCAACAGTCATTGGCATGGTCAGTACAAACATTCATTTGATTCGAGGACGAAAATTCCTACTAGCGACTTTGTGCAACAGACGATAGTGTTATTTATCTTTCCCATCTTTATGATATTGAATATACATACAACAATACATCTGGCACACTACAATTGAAGTAATTTCAGACAATTGACGTAAATTACAACAACCAACTCGTGGACAATCACAGGGCGACAAAATTGACTGCTGAAATACCGGCCGAGGTCAAAATAATGTTATTGACATTTTATTCTACAAAAAAGCGTAAGTTTTATACAACGATACATGCTCTGTGGGGTCCACTAAGTAAAACGCATGCTCAATAACATAATAGCGTGGTGTTATCTCGCATGCTAGCTAGCATGCTTCAGGGAGGTTTGCAGTGGGCACTTTCTCGCCATGCAATTGTCCACGGTTCAACTACCCTCTGTGCTGACCACACCACAATATTATTACATAAATTATTTATAATTTTCTTACAAAAACAACTTTAACATCCAAAGCTATGTGCCCACAAGAATTTGCGTGTAATTTACACTACAAAACATTCTCTAACAAACATTTTAAACAATTTCAGTGTGTTATTTCATGCGAGGATACGCAGTTACGTTATTTTTAAAGTACTTTTTTTATATTTTTCTAACAATATAATTGTGGGTTTGGTTTTATATTTCATTCCCTTTTACAATAAATTTTAGTGAATACATTAAATATAATTATGTGTCTAGTGTTATACAGAAATAAATCTTATATTTATATAACTTTCTTCTCTTTAGGACGTTTTTAATAAACCACTTATTAATTATTTTGATCGAGTCGCTAGTTTAACAGATCTACACACAAGTACTTCGCTGGACATTAGTGGCAACACTTTACTAATGCAATAACGTTGCTATATAATTTCTAGCGATCTCCTATTGAAACGTGTTAAAAAGGTAAATAAGCAGTGTTGCCGGGAAAAAGTTTTATATAAGAAATTTAATAATTAGAGGAACCTCTGTAAATCTGTCAAATTACCAACGCGAACTATAACCAAGTTTAGTCTACACAGCAATATTATTAGAACACGTGTCATCGACTCACAACACACCAGATGTAGACGTAAAGAACAAAAAATTAATTATAATGTAAGCATTATTAATAAAACTAGTGTTATACAATGTAATATACAACAACAAATTACAGAAATCATACGAATACGAGTCCTAGCACAAACGAAGCACCTCCGTGTTAACTAAAGGCGATAATATAATTATTTTTAATCATTTTTTTTGCAATTTTCTCGATTATTTCATTACAAAAACAAAACACACACATGGCAGAAGTTTTTTAACATTTTTATCTTAATTTAGGTCAAATATTATATCACATTTACCGGCTCCCGCCGGGTCGGGCCTCTCGCTCGCACACAACCTTACACACAATACTTCACAAATATGCGGCCGATACTTTGTGGCCCAATTCGAAATCCTCTACGCGCACATCGACAGACAGGAGATTTCGAATCGGGAATATCATCAACTTTGCGGTTGCTCGTCGTGGCAGAATTTTTAATGCGAAACGTTTCATAAAATCTGTCCATAAAATATGAACGATATGAAGTTAAAAATGTTTAAACAGCAACGCGGTAGAATATCGAATCACTGGAAGACGAAAGAAGTCAAGGGCAGCAAACAGGATTAAGTGGTATGCAAACATAATTAAAATCGACAGGTAGAAAAAAAAAACAAGTGCTTAAATCGTAAAGCGGAAAATAATTGCATTCATATAACGTGTCCAGAAAAAAATTATACAGGGTGTTAGGTAAATGGGTATATGAGCCGACACTAGCCCATGTTAACATGGTCATATAAATGGTATGGTGGAGTCAGGAAATTGATATCTTCATTTTAATTATTTTATTTTTCATATAAATCGGATTTTATAAAATTTATTTTGTATGAAAATTAAAAAAAATAAAATGATGATATCAATTTTCTGACTTCACCATACCATTTATATGAGCATGTTAACATGGGCTAGTGTCGGCTCATATACCCATTTACCTAACACCCTGTATAGATCAAAAGCTGCCAGCGTTTCCTACAAATTTACCACGAGCTAAATACAAGGAATACATCAATTCGTCAGTTCCAAACGTGGTGGTCCCTTTTGGTTCGGGGAGGGGGGAGGGGGACAGACGGTCGCCGCNGGGCTATATCTTGGGCAGCTTAGGAGCGGCGAGCGGCGTGAGCGCGGGCGCACCTGCCTTGTAGTCGTACGCGCACCCGTGCACTTCGGCGTACCTGGGAGTTTGAGTACAATTTAGAAAAAGTGTACAGTGCTATTGCCATAATCATTTGAACCTTACTTCAATTAACATGAGGTTGAAAATCAACGAATATTTTCATCATACATTATGATGAACTTTTTTTCTTATCGGTATGAAAAAATTAACTTAACATAAAATCCAAAGATGTCCATTGATTACTGGACAAAGGCCTGCTCTTTGCAGCTTTTATTAGGTTGTCAGTCTTATGTTAAGTTTCCTTATGGACCAATTGTTGTGGAAATTTTTTATCCCTTTACGAACGAAGTCTCCTCAACCCATCTGGTTGAAGGGGAGTGAAGGCCAAATTTTTTAAGATAATTTGGAACGACTCGTATTCTCGCAGTGGATTAATTTACGATACCGATGATATTATGCAAGTAAGAGTGGAAATCCTTGGGGGAGGCCTTTGTCCAGCAGTGTATAGTTCCAAAATACTGAACTGTCCTATCCATGACATTGAAGCGCCACCGTGTATACCGGATCGCTGGTTCCGATTTTTGCCATGTTGGAAATCATATAGTTGAACGATGGTAGCGCCCCCCTGTCATTGAGTTTGGCGGGACAGTTCAGCGTGGGTCATCTATACGTCTTTCGGCTGAAACGAACGAACGAACGAAGAGTCCAATAAAAAGGTGACCGACCAGGAACATAAAAACCCTCGCCATGTTGCGGAAAACTAATGGTACTAATTTCTTTTAATGGCAACAGTAACTGAAAACTTCATTGACATGTCACCTTGCATGTCAGTCTATTGCTGTCAAAGTGTAACTAAACAAACTTTATTTTAAATGTGCGCAATTGATTTTGTGAATTAAATTGCTAAAATCTTTTTATAGTCGTGAAAGAAAAGTGGTTCACAATGTGTTAAAGTATTTGTCGAAGAGAAATACTAAGGGTTCGGACAATATTTTCATTGAATAATTTTTCCGACAAGGGTGTCAAATTGACTGACATGTTTATCGTATAGTACATACAGTCCACTATGAAAATTAGTTGTGGTTTGTTTAACTACCTATTTTAAAGTTTTTTGTTACTTTTTAAGTGTTGAATTTTATGGAATTGGGAAAGAAGTACCGAGTTTGAAGCGTTCATGAGCAGACATTGCAGTTGAATATTCAAGTTCTGATTTTGATTATTGATGAATAATAAAATAAATCCTACTAGCTCGATTGATGTTTTCATTTAATTTATTTAAACCAGGTTACCTATAATAATATTTTTTCGTTAATTCATGAAAATATTAAATTAGCCCGTAATCCTGAATCCTGATACATAAAGTTAGCCTATTAATTTAACACAGGTACGACTGTACTCAGTGTTGCACTATCAAATGCAATTGACGCGCCTCTATGGCAGGGTTTTTATGTTCCTGGTCAGGCTATATTATAAATACTAGCTTTCCGCCCGCGGCTTCGCCCGCGTGGAATTTTGTCTGTCACAGAAAAACTTTATCGCGCGCGTCCCTGTTTCAAAAACCGGGATAAAAACTATCCTATGTTCTTTCCCGGGACTCAAACTATCTCTATGCCAAATTTAATCAAAATCGGTTGCGAGGTTTAAGCGGGAAAGCGTAACAGACAGACAGACAGACAGAGTTACTTTCGCATTTATAATATTAGTTGGGATTACCTGTGCGGCGCGCAGTAGTCGGTGCCGCAGCGGCAGGTGTGCTTGGTGGCGATGGTGAGGCGCTTGCGGCACCACGCGCAGCGCAGCCGTCGGGCCGGCGCCGGCGTCGGTGCTGGCGGAGGCGCCGCCGCCGGCTCCGGATCGGGCTCGCTGGGGACACAGAAGTGGATATAAGTATCATTAAAAAAGCTGTCGCTAATTTAAATTGTTTAAAGTTATAGTTCTGTGTGATGAGCTTTGTATGTCAATGAAAGAGAGTAATCTACCATAATTTATTTTTACTGCTGTAAATTTTCTTACATACCAAAGTAAATACTTACTTAGTGAACTAACACTACTTGACTTAATTAGCTATCCAAATGAGAAGTAGCGAGTTATTCCCAATACAAATGTCTCTGACTACTTACCGGGAACACTCGGTAATAACTCTGTATACAAGTATTTTTGGAAATAAATGTTTTTTTTTATGGGAAGATGCTTGGCGCTATTTAGAATCGCTACATTTACTCCATTTGCTCCGATGCGAGCTCGGTCATGCGTAGCTCTGGGGGAGTTGGCTTAGCAAAGCGAGGATTTTATACCTCATAACAAAACTTCCTTCAATAAATTAAATGTGTCTGGGATATGGATACGAGATATGGTGCAAATGATAGTTCTTCGCAACCCACTGAGCCCAATAAATATCCTCGCACCGCTCACCACAAATCTCTGGTGAAAACATAGACACCGTTTCAAAGTTTTGTGGAAACGCAGTCTAACTATGTGATACGGACGACAGCAAATTACATAAGTAAAATGCAGTGACGTCTTATCTCGTTGTTGTAAAACAATATTTAGCGCCCTCTACTTTTATAAGTAGTTGCTTATGCAACTGTTTGTAAAGCGCCATCTATGGTTTTTCTTCCTCTTACTGAACCACCGGGAGTCGGGACAAACTAATTTTAGTTCTAAACTGCAAGTCCACAGTGTATTATACAGGGTGTTTGGCGCATCGTGTGCCAAAATGATTTGGCGGATAGAATGGGTCATTTCCTATATTTTCAGCCCCCATAACACGTTCCATGTCAGGCGGCTACTTTTATATTAAGTTTTTTAGTAATTTCACCAAAATACCCAAATCGCATCATTTAATTTCGATTTAAAAAAAAACTACTAAGCGTAGCCTCAAAGTAAATATTTTGTTTTAACGTGCATTGACATAGGGTTGCATCAAATCTAAATTTACTGGCAAATATCATCTAGTTTTTTTTTAATTCAGCTTTGAACTTTTCCGAAAAGTTAAAAATGGACTGAACATTTAAGTTTACATGGCTATAAATTTTTTTTTAAAAGAGATAGCGATCTTCGGATTTTATCAAAACTTCTCTAGTCTATCCCCATTCAAACGGTATACTAATCTTGTTTAAATAATAACAACAACTTCACAAATTCCCTAAATTAGTGCATTGACTCTATTCGGACTGATTTGCGAAATTTGTGTTTATAGCCCCTTTTTGTGTGAATAACACGTTAAATACCTACAGGTAAAAAATATTTATCTTATGCAATGTAAAAAACCTTTTCTCTATCGTTTTTCAATGTGGATTTCTTGAAATTAAAGACGAAAATAATTATTTTGATCGTTTATTAATTATTACAAATTTTGTTCAAAATGTCCGCCTCGGCAACGTATACACTCACGACATCTTCGACTGTTGTCGTATGCAGCCTCATTTCTCTTTTTATTACTATAAAGGCGTTTTCTATTCGTTGTTGTAGTTCTTCTAATGTTTGAACTTCCGTTACGTACACCAGTTCATTACCTCGTCCCCAGACGTAAAAATCTAACGGAGTTAGGTCTGGGGAACGTGCAGGCCACTGTATAGGGCCAGTCTAAATTAGAAGAAGATGTCGTTACTTAGTGTATACGTTGCCGAGGCGGACATTTTGAACAAAATTTGTAATAATTAATAAACGATCAAAATAATTATTTTCGTCTTTAATTTCAAGAAATCTACATTGAAAAACGATAGAGAAAAGGTTTTTTACATTGCATAAGATAAATATTTTTTACCTGTAGGTATTTAACGTGTTATTCACACAAAAAGGGGCTATAAACACAAATTTCGCAAATCAGTCCGAATAGAGTCAATGCACTAATTTAGGGAATTTGTGAAGTTGTTGTTATTATTTAAACAAGATTAGTATACCGTTTGAATGGGGATAGACTAGAGAAGTTTTGATAAAATCCGAAGATCGCTATCTCTTTTAAAAAAAAATTTATAGCCATGTAAACTTAAATGTTCAGTCCATTTTTAACTTTTCGGAAAAATTCAAAGCTGAATTAAAAAAAAACTAGATGATATTTGCCAGTAAATTTAGATTTGATGCAACCCTATGTCAATGCACGTTAAAACAAAATATTTACTTTGAGGCTACGCTTAGTAGTTTTTTTTTAAATCGAAATTAAATGATGCGATTTGGGTATTTTGGTGAAATTACTAAAAAACTTAATATAAAAGTAGCCGCCTGACATGGAACGTGTTATGGGGGCTGAAAATATAGGAAATGACCCATTCTATCCGCCAAATCATTTTGGCACACGATGCGCCAAACACCCTGTATAAATAAATAAATTCATACAATGAACCAAAAATAGCGCTACATCTGTGCGTGCTGCTTTTTATCAATCAGTCCGCACTCGGCCAATACAATTCAAGACACTGTATAGATCGTTTCATCCACGAAGACGCGCCCCACCACTTTTGGATCTCGGGACGGGCGGGGAGTTTGATCCGAGCAGTCCGAGCGTCATTATTGTAGTGTGCGTGTGCACTCATGGATGATTTAGCGTGTACCGATAACACTCAAACATTAGCGGAAGAATGGTGGGGCGCGTCTACGTGGATGAAAAAAGGTCTATAACAACTGTCTACAGTATTTTTGCGCATGGGTTATGCATAGCTTATTTTTATTGCTTTATAACCTAGAAACAAGAATAACAACAAAAAATTGTTCTAAATTTGCTTGCATGTGTAAAAAATAGAAATATTCATATCAATGAATGTATGAAACATGAACATGATTCAATTGTTGAGAATGATTCAATTTGTTGCCAAATTTTCTTTTTCTTTCTTTCTTTCATTCTTTCTAATTATTAAAACATACCAAATATCTATTTAAGATTCATTCTCACAAGAGAAAATTTAAAGTAATAAAATAAAAGAAACTTGGAATGTTATCAACCGAGAGACTGGTAAACTAAAACCAAGAGACAATGACTTTTCTCTCAAAGTTCACGATAATTTGATATCTGCAGATAAAGATGTAGCGGAAGTTTTTGACAATTTTTTTGGTAATATAGCTTCAGGGTGGATCATCAAATTCTAATATCCAAGCTTCACCACTGCGGAATTGGTGGCAGCTTGCTTAAATGGTGTGCATCTTACCTGGTTAAGCGGTCCTCGAGGGTGGTTGTGAA